TAACGCACGCTTCGACTATAGCAAATATACTGTATTATTTTCATCACCTTACGTCTAGAAAATAGAAAGAAATTTAAACCTTTGATCAACATTGTGATCATTTTAATTTACAAAGTGATGTAATTCATTTTTCATGTGGTAAATCACATAAATATTACTCAAATTATAAAAGGACATTATAGACTGACACTTAAAATACGCTTTAACTTCTGAATATAATTTGTATTTGGAACTTCGTCGTTTTTCACAATTTCATTCACAGTTTTAGTGACGAGCATTTGAATAAAGTCTGTAATGATTTGGTGATTGTTTAAAATGTCTACTTCAATCAAGTATCCAATGATGATTTTTTCAAATGTCGTATGTGAAATAAGGACTTTTCTAAATAGAAATAACGACTGTTTGAATACATATGATTGCATTACGTTGATTACAATGATTACATTCGAGTATGGAATGACAACTTTTAAAGATGTCGTATCTAATGTTATGAAGACTTTTACTCTTATGGATTGAGAACTTTTTGAAATGTCGACTCTTTTTGTTCAGAGAAACTAGAAAAAATTACAGTGTAAAAAAGTTAGAATTTGCAATGTAAAAGTTGGAGAAAATCTTGTGCTTTTGTAGAAATTTCACAATAAGGGGTTGGCTGTATGATGATGAAAATAATAACATAATGATAAAAGAAGAGCAAAAGAAGTTTTAAATAAAATCCCGAATAAAAGAAAAAGAGGAAAAGAAACAAAACTTTTCTCGTTCATGCTTATTTTGCTCGTTTTAGCCAGGCATTAGTTATTCATTCTATGAGTTTAAAACATTAAGATGTTGATGACTTCATGTTAATGAAGAATGTTTATCACAGTACAATTGAAGGACCAAACATTTGCGGCTGCGTTAATGTCACTAGAAATGGTTCTGTACGTTCTGTGAACAACGAGCATCATAAACTCATCGATCGTTTTCACATAATGTTTCTGATGTAAGCAGACCATCAGATATGACCCTCAATGAATGACATGCTGTACTATTTCCAAATACACATGTATATTGAAATTAATGTTTCGAGTGTAAAATTTTAGAGATCTAATTTATCTACTCTCTCTGTTTTGTGTGTAGAATAATGTAAAATGGAGGTATTTCTTTATATTGCAAGAAATACAACTTTAAATCACACAAGTAAACTAAATAACTTTTCTTATGCATCTTCGACAGGCTGCAAAAGTATGGTGGCTTCTCTACTTGATGTTTACTTGTTTAATGGAAAGAGTGTTCTCCCAAGTCCACTAATGTCCATGTGCTAGTTGCAAGAGCGTCTGAAAGATGAGTAAAGGTGGTGATTGTTGAAGAAAAGTGATGGAAAGATATGTTAAGGCGAGAACATAAGTTGGTATATCTTTTTTATTTTTTTTCATAATTTTTTATGAAACAATTTTGATAACATAGAATGAACCCGCGCTCAATTGTGCTGCAGCCGTAAGTAATTTTCTGTAGTTGAATGTTCCCGTTGCAAAATGATTTTGGAACTTTTATTAAACCTTGCATGCATTGCCAGATGCATCCGTTCTAAGAAAAAGCCGTTGCTTCTATGCAAAAATATCATATGAGCGTCTGAAGAGATGTGAACTTCAATTTTCTTTTTGTATAAAAAATTTTGGCAGAATTACCTGACACACATAGCAGAACGGGCTTGAACCTGCAGAAGCGTGCGTTTAAACCGAATATATTTCTCCAGAGCCAATCCTTCCCGACTTCTACATCACGTTTTTCTTTTTGAATATTAGAAAAAGCAAATGTTGATACAATAAAAAGTTTCTTTGATTTTGATTCTTGAACCCGGGAGCGTTTCACCAATAGCAGTCCGTCATACCACTCGACTATCTAATCGAGCGATATATTCGGAAAGTGTAAGGCAGTCATTATTAAATCTAATTAATAAACAACAAAATAACTTTCTTTTGCAGTGGAAATGATCTTGTTTCATGGAGGAAAAATTTTTATACATCGTTAAAAAGACGTGCTGTAGTTGTTTACAATGTTTCACAAACTTTCTTTTCAACCGTTATGCCTGTAAATACGTTGAGATGTAAGTTTTTATGGATTTTACATGTCTGTATTGTTGCTGCTGGAATACTCTCATCACAAGACTGGCGGAGCATACTCTTATTGAAAATTTACCTAACTGGTGTGAAGGTACGAGATTATGGCTAAAGTTGAAAGAAATTAAAGAAACTCAAGATGTAACGTTTTAGGTTACTAAGCCATGTAAATGTTATACCACAATGTTGTATAACAATTACAATGTTTCATATCAATGTTGAACATTGATAATGTTTCTCTCCAGTATGAACACTCACATGTCTTCGAGTGTTCATATGTAATTGTGGATTTTTCTGCATTCATTTTTCATTTGACCATTTAGGTAGTCCTCGCTACTGTACTTTCGACCAGAACGTGAGCATTCCCATGGATTTGAACAAGTAAGCATTGGACATCTTTTTAAATGTTTCTCCAAGTAATTGGGATATGCATACATCATTCCACAGTGTCTAAAGCTGAGACCTCAAACTGAAAAAGAAAAAATTACTATTAGATCACAGTATAAATAACTCAATGATCATGCATCACTAAAGCACAACACATACGCAAACTGACTAACCTTCGAACAGATGTTTGTTGTCATCTTCCTCATCAAACAACGGTATTCCTAACTGTTCAGCATACTCATCTCCATACCAAACAAGCATTTATTTATCGGCTTCAATCTCTTTATAAACTCGGTGCTAAATTTCTCTATTCTATTGATATGCAATTATATTTTGTTCGTCTTCATATAGTGGCAATTCACAAATCTCATCCAATTACCTTGAGTAAGGTCATTATCATCAACAAGATGAACAATGTTTGCTCTTTGTACAATCTGCTAACACTAAACCATAAACAATAATGACAAAGCTTATTGTGTAATCAACAGTCACTTGCTGAAAGTAGAACAGGCTGAAAATATTTTAGTAAAAGAATGTATTCAGTTATTCAAATACATTCACCTCCCCACATGTACGAAGAATCTCTAAAATCATTTGAATCTTGGAGAAAGACTTTCTCTCCTTTGTACGGTCCAAAGCGAGTGTTCATCCTCAATTTTTCTTTTTAAAAATACTCCTGCCTGCATCTGGAATTGTAGAAGTATTTATGTACAGATCTTTTGGAAGTGTCTTTATAGCATTTTGTTTTCTCTTTCCTGATGTACTTCTTCTGTCTTCAATGATGTGAAATATTTGCAATGGACATTCTCCATGGGTAAAACCTTTGCATTGTTCACAATCTTCAACAAAAAGATTAAATTATAACGATTACCTGATTTTTAAAAGCTAAAACTATATCATCATGTTGCCGATAGGTCACCGATTATTTTAGAAGAAACCTGTAAAAATTTGTGATTGAAATTCAAACAAAAACTTGTCATAAAACATACCAATTCATTGGCAGATTTCTTCATGACTAATTTTTAATACGATAGTGTTGGTACCTTCTCATCTTGGTGTATTGACAATAAGATTGCAAGATAAAAAACGAAGATCAAGAACTGTGCCATTCTAAAAAAATTATATACCTTTGTTTCTACCTTTGTGTCTACCTTTATGTCTACCTTTATGTCTACCTTTGTGTCTACCTTTATGTCTACCTTTGTGTCTACCTTTATGTCTACCTTTGTGTCTACCTTTATGTCTACCTTTATGTCTACCTTTATGTCTACTTTATGTCTACCTTTATGTCTATCTTTATGTCTACCTTTATGTCTAACTTTATGTTTACCTTTATGTCTACCTTTATGTCTACGTTTATGTCTACCTTTATCTCAACCTTTATGTCTACCTTTGTGTCTATCTTTATGTTTACCTTATTGTCCACCCTTATAGACGTCTAACTTTTTGTCTTACCTTTATGTCCACGTTTAAAGACGTGTACCTTTTACTCTAAATTTTTTGTCTACTTTGTATTTTTCTTTGTATTGGAGACGACATTTTAAACAGTCTTCATTTTATAAAAATCAATATTGAAAGTTGTCATTTCAAAATGACAAATGAGATTTGAAAATGACTCAAATAAAAGTTTTGAAATTACAGACTTCTACACGGCTGCAATGACGCTTACTTTTAGGCCAATGTGTTCTTACGGTTCAACGACCATGTGTTGGTCAACACGTTGAATACAGCTCTAATCCAATGAGACGTTTTTCGGTAATGAGCAGAAAATTTACGATAGTCGTCGTCTAGTCTAGTTAAAGCACAAACTTTTACAATGCTTTACACCACCACAAATCTTTCAAATACGTTATGCTTGTTGCCTTTGTGCCGTCTTAATGTTGCTTAATTTCATACAAACAAGAAGTGTTTATACCATGACGCCTCGTAATTTATAAAACCAAGATCTTAAAGTGAATAATATCTTTGTGCATGGTGTTATGCATGTTATTATGTATTTGTTCCACATGATTGTTTTAACATTTATTGTTCGTACACCTTAACAAGTTACCAGATATCTTAATAAAGTAAATGGTTTGAACAGTCCTTCTCAGGACTATACCGACCTGGACGATCTACATTTACAAACATGTTACCAGATATCTATAAAATATAATCCTGAAAAAACAATAGGTAGTGTTCTTAAATAAAAGAGCTATGTTCTCCGTTTATTAAATACATGCAAAATGCAAATGAAATTGTCCATTGTTCTTTGGCAGTACGCAAATCAATAAAAAATAAAATTCATTTAGTTTATCAATTACAACAAGCACTTCAATGTCAGCAAATTGTTGTCTAAATTAGACATATTGAGAGCAGAAACGGGTAAAGAAAAGTTATTTTGTTAACCGAGTTGTATACAACCATTTTAATCTTGTGTCTTATGAAGTAACGACTTTTTCAAATGTCGTCTCCTATGAAACGACGGCTTTCTAAAACTTTTGTTGTAACCAAAGTCATAGGCTAATGTCAACTGAATACTTGGAATAATGGAAGTATATATTTCGGTTATTTTACATTCGACGCTAAATATGAAATTTTTAGAGAATTAGATGCTACAGCGAACACCAGATTAACAGAAACAATACATTGTATTTTTAGTGGCATAACGTCATAGAGCTTCCAGTAAACGTTCTTATTTAAAGCGCGATGTTCGTGCAAAACACTGTACAAGTTCTCATATCTTCATTCTATTTGGATAAAACAATCGCTTTTGAAAACGCCTTTGTGGTTATGAACCTAAACATGAACAAAATTCTTCAAGATAAAGGCGTACACCTGCCGATACGTGTTCTAAGGGATGATCATCGTAAATACCGTGCGTAAAATAAACTATCCTTAACCCCTTGTACGAACAAAACGAACATTGTTGGCCCAACACTATTAAATATAACATCCAAACTTAAGTTCATTTGATGATTTCGATAGTTTTTAACAATCTCCAAATTTAAGGTAATTTATAATACTACTCATAGACGTGAACCGCTTCATAATTGTGTTTGTGGGTGCGTTGAGATGGAGGGATGGGTATATTCATATACCACGATGTATATACATGTGTGTACATGTATGTGTACATGTTATAATTGTATAGAAAACAATCGATTACAAAGGAACTTAAGATGTCAAACAATGTATGAACGAATATTGACCAAATCCTATTATCAATATTGCCACTTCTCCAACATTACCACGAACAAACAATGTTAACTTTCATCGTTGAATGGTTTGTGTGACTGAGGGGATCAGGAGGGTAATTATTCAGACAAAGAGCAACACAGTTAAACATTCTCTGACTATCAGATTGAACTCCATTGACAATCATTGTAAAATAAAGTCAAAACAACACCAAGTTCAGCAATTCCTCTGATAAGTTTGAAAAATTTGCTTGGAAGGTGCTTCTGATAGTCGGGGTGTATTTCATCATAAAAATAAAGATGTACTGTTTGGCGATTTGACCCACTAAGCTGCAATGGTTTTTAGAGGTGCCGCGTAGACCTTTACCCACTGATATGTACATTAAACTGGAGTACGCATCGGATGGCTACGCATTACACGTGATACGTCATTCAGTTTTAATACACGTATTGATGCCCTTACCTCATCTCACGAAAGATGAATATTCGCAAGAAAACTATACTAACCTTTGTGAATACTCTCTAAGCGGGGTCAACAATGTTAGCTTTGTTTATACAGACTTCTACAACATACTAAATCAACATGGAAATTACATATTCACAAACCAACGGTTTAAAACATGCAATCATAAGACGACAGTGTGATTGTTAAACATTGAGTTGTCATTAGACACATACACGTTTATTAAAGATAAAATGTTAAAATTGCCGTTCGTAACATGATTTCATTATCCAAGATGACACGAGGGTCGTTCATGGTATGACTTCGTGAAGTTAAAACATTGTTGGCTTTTACAATCGCTTCAAAACATGGCTACGTCACAAAGGGACTTCTTCTTGAAGACGCATCATGGAAAATTGGACAATTACAAAATGAGATGGGGATTGAGGTCTAGCTCACTGCATCGGAGGATTCCAGTTTTTCGGTTTGTCCGCGAAGAAATTCAATCCTAAACGACAAAGGATAATGCTAAACAACACGAGCTTGAATCCTCCAAGAAAACTATCCTTAAAACATATAAACACCGCAGTCTGATACTGCGCGCCACGTACTAAACCAGAAAACTATCCTTAAAACATATAAACACCGCAGTCTGATACTGCGCGCCACGTACTAAACCAGAAAACTATCCTTAAAACATATAAACACCGCAGCCTGATACTGCGCGCCACGTACTAAACCAGAAAACTATCCTTAAAACATATAAACACCGCAGCCTGATACTGCGCGCCACGTACTAAACCAGAAAACTATCCTTAAAACATATAAACACCGCAGTCTGATACTGCGCGCCACGTACTAAACCAGAAAACTATCCTTAAAACATATAAACACCGCAGCCTGATACTGCGCGCCACGTACTAAACAAGAAAACTATCCTTAAAACATATAAACACCGCAGTCTGATACTGCGCGCCACGTACTAAACCAGAAAACTATCCTTAAAACATATAAACACCGCAGCCTGATACTGCGCGCCACGTACTAAACAAGAAAACTATCCTTAAACATATAAACACCGCAGTCTGATACTGCGTACTAAACAAGAAAACTATCCTTAAAACATATAAACACCGCAGTCTGATTCTGCGCGCCACGTACTAAACCAGGATTGTCCTTTGCATGTGTATAGTTAACGAAACACTTAACCTCCCCTTACCACCCGTATTTTCACTAACCATTTCTAGAGAATCAAAAACCAGACCTATAACATATTACTGGTCTTTTTATAGCTTTTCATGTTGACAAAAACATCGATGTTAGAGGGAATCCCTGGTTCATGTAGTACTAATGAAAGTAAGACGGATCTACGATAGTTTTATAGCGGTGTGCTTTAATTTGGATTAGATTTCAGTGGTTAATTGTCGCCGTACAATGACAGACTTTTTTTTAATCCTGCTACCTTTCTATTATGATAGGGAGATTTTTGAATGCGTGTAAATTAAAGTTTTGTAAGTTGAAGAACGTTTATGTATCTTCTTGCGTTAAAAACGCGAGGATCAAACAGTGATAATTCGTTGTACGAGCAGATACAAAGCACTGCACTAAAAACCTGGGCAAAATGTGCTCGATAAACTTGATATGAAGATCGTCGATGATAATAGAAAGGTAGCAGCTAATAGATAATAATAGAAAGTCGCTCACGCAAAATATGCACCTTTTCGTTCCAACGTCCATCCTCATCCGAGTGAGATTTTGATGAAACTTAAGCGGGACCAAGTCAGCTTTCAGTCGACAGTTCAATATGGATAAATTCACAGTATCGTCCGCTGACTTTTGCGCCTGCAAACCAGACAAAGTAAGTTGAATTGTTGAATACGGATCTTGTAAAGATTGCAGTAACGACATTAGTTTATTCACAAGGAAACCTTTAGAAAGAGCAATTGTCTAAGCTACAAAAACGAATTACGTAAGCAATGGCAGGACTGCCCCACCCCTCAAAGAAGACAAAGTGTTGAATTTTTCACAACTGCACATGATTAAATCTCATATTCTTCGCAAATCCCTCCACATAAAACAACATTTAAAGTGCTTAAGACGCCATATTTCACCACAAAGTTTCCCATTGCAAAGTCGATTATGACTTAATGACTTATGCAGTAAAAGTGTGTTAGTTTTATTCTGTCGGGATATTTTTCTTTTCTTTATACAAATCACATCACATAGCACAATTAAGCCCTAGGAAACAGTAGTTTGATGGACGGTTTTTCGTAAAAGATCTGTTTTTGTCCACTATACAAAAATATGTATTCATTGAAGTGTTGTTTAGGTTATTATGAAATGTTTTTACGACGCAGAAATCTGTAAAATAGTATCATGTCAATGTCAGGTCTAAGGTAACGAGAATATTTCTACAATGCACAAAGTTAGATATCGCTAGATATAATTCTCGGGGATGGATGCAGAATGACTTTATACGTTAATGGGAGTGCTCTAGTGTAGAGAAAATTTCACTAAATACTTTGTGGATGTTTCCATGTTAGAAATTTCTTGTTAAATTTTGTTACCAATACTATGATTGAGAAAGATTATTTGAAGTGTGATTAAACATAAATCACAATTGCTTTTGTATAGTTGTATATTTATATAAAATGTACAAACCCCACCTTCGTACACCAAAATTCCGTAGGAATATTGGCACCCCACCACCTACCCTCCCTCCCTCTTGCCAAATAGAGGTGGGCACCCTTCTGCATCCTATAGTTAATCTAACCCTGACAATTTCAATGAAGAAGTTTTTAAGTCAATACAAACGTTCTTTGCGCCACATCAGGTTATAAACACTTCAAACATTTACTTTTAATGTTTTTTGTATACCTGCTTTTCGACAATATCCCCTGGCCAGGCAAGAGTATGAGTAATAAGTTCGGGATTATAGCCGTTCACGAAATCCTGAAGAATGATTGTTTGCGGAAAAGGATGAAGGATTGGTTGGTTAGACGCTACTGTGGTTCGCTGTATAACAGGAGCAGACGGTTGAGGAACATGTTGGGATTGTCGAGGTACATTTGGAGAATGTTGATGAACATATTGAGATGGTTGGAGACCATGAGATTGTTGAGGAACATGCTGATTAGGCGGTTTCATTTGATGGAGCGGAGATTGTGTATTCGTTTGTGTTGAATCTACGATAGAAGAACAATTGAAGTTTGTATGTGTTAGCACGCAGACGAACGTTGTTAAACTTGTTGTTTCTTTAAAGAGAACATGAAAACGGTAATTGATTATGGCGTGAAGATCTTTAGCACGTTTTAACCCTTAACTTTTCGGCTTTCCGAGTTGCCCATACCCCAAGGTTTACAAGACAGGTGTATCCGGTTCGGATGTTGAACTTTTCGTATGCCGAAAGCAGAAAGAAATGGTAACAAAATATCTAGACTCGTTATCTTTTCTTTATAATGCATTTGAAATCGTAAAAACACAAAAAAAAACAATTATAATACCGAGGCTACAATAAACGATTACACCATAACTCAGATGCTCAAAACCACTTCAAGCTTTATGTCTTTAAATGTTTGGCACACCGATAGTTCTTTAGCAAACAAATAACTAAAGTAGAAAATAAGACGTACCTTTTGCAGAGGGCATCATTCTACTGGAGTTCCCTTGAAACTGAGCCTGTTCGATTGAGTAAAATTTCAAAACTCAAAACATACAAAAAAAATCGAATGAAACAATCACGTAAATACGTAACATCAGAGGTTCTTCGCTAACCTGTTGCAATAAAGTCGCCTGTTGTAATGGATGTAGCTGCGCTTTAGAAAATCCCTGCGGGAAACCGTTGTACGACGAGCCCTCTTTAGCCGCTGATGTTTTTGGCGATGTTTCTGAAGGGCGAGCTGGAGTTAAGGTGTGAGCGGGTGACGCGTGAGGGAAACATGGCGGTGGAGGAGGTGGGGGAGTTGATGTCGATGACCTGTTGGTCATGGTTCGTAGCCTTTGGGGAGTTGCATGACGTGGAGATGATTTCGTTACAGGAGAATGTTGTGGGACGACTGGAGAATGGCTTGATATTAATGGTGAAACGGTAACAAGTGGGGATTTACTCTGACCGGCAGTAGTAACTGGAGTACGCGGTGGAGAAACGTCATGTAAGCTTCCCGAAGGCGATGCTGCGCACAAGATTAAAGCAAAGTTTCAACAAAACTGAACTAAAGAGGAAATGTCTCTTTTAATGAAAAAATGTAAAATACAAACCTTTAGTAACTGATTTTGCAAATACGTGATCTGGTCTAAATAAAAGATCCATACAACATTATATATATATTTTCAAATGCATTTTTCTCATAAAAAACAAACATACACACAGCTCCAAAAATACCTGTGTACTGCAGTAGAGACAGAAGTCGTATTAGCAGAGGAAGTTTTAATGATTGGAGCAGTTGATTGACTATTCCCAACATGAGTATAATGAGATTTTTTACTTTCTGGTGTGTGCTGCTGTAGTGACAGCCTCCTGTTGTCAGAGTTATGCAGCTGATGAAGTCGTCTACTATCATGTAACCCTGACAGACGTCTATGGTTATGAGAAAGCAACGACTTGTTGTCAGTCTTTTGTGATGTTTGCTTAACATCTTGATGAACATTCTTTTCTTTGTTGTATTTATTTCCAACAACAGAACAGCCGTAACTGTCTCTCTTGTTGGATAATTCACGACTTGACGATGAATTCTTGTCAGAAACTAAATGCATAAAAATGTGTGCGGACCTACAGCCTTCAAGTTGAAATGATAGAAAGAATATGGCATACTGTATTTTTTTCATAAATATAAAAAAGCTAAAAATTTGACAAACAGGGCTACAAATGTTTTAGAACATTGGTCAAAGTTATCATTCAACAGAACATTGATCTGAGTTATCATTCAACAGAACATTGATCTAAGTTATCATTCAACAGAACATTGATCTAAGTTATCATTCAGCAGAACATTGATCTAAGTTATCATTCAGCAGAACATTGATCTAAGTTATCATTCAACAGAACATTGATCTAAGTTATCATTCAACAGAACATTGATCTAAGTTATCATTCAACAGAACATTGATCTAAGTTATCATTCAACAGAACATTGATCTAAGTTATCATTCAACAAAACATTGATCTGAGTTATCATTCAACAAAACATTGATCTAAGTTATCATTCAGCAGAACATTAGTCCAAGTTATCATTCAACAGAACATTGATCTAAGTTATCATTCAACAGAACATTGATCTAAGTTATCATTCAACAGAACATTGATCTAAGTTATCATTCAACAAAACATTGATCTAAGTTATCATTCAACAAAACATTGATCTGAGTTATCATTCAACAGAACATTGGTCTAAGTTATCATTCAACAGAACATTGATCTAAGTTATCATTCAACAGAACATTGATCTAAGTTATCATTCAACAGAACATTGATCTAAGTTATCATTCAACAAAACATTGATCTAAATTATCATTCAACAAAACATTGATCTGGGTTATCATTCAACAGAACATTGGTCTAAGTTATCATTCAACAGAACATTGATCTAAGTTATCATTCAACAGAACATTGATCTAAGTTATCATTCAACAGAACATTGATCTAAGTTATCATTCAACAGAACATTGATCTAAGTTATCATTCAACAGAACATTGATCTAAGTTATCATTCAACAGAACATTGATCTAAGTTATCATTCAACAGAACATTGATCTAAGTTATCATTCAACAAAACATTAGTCTAAGTTATCATTCAACAGAACATTGATCTAAGTTATCATTCAACAAAACATTGATCTAAGTTATCATTCAACAGAACATTGATCTAAGTTATCATTCAACAAAACATTAGTCTAAGTTATCATTCAACAGAACATTGATCTAAGTTATCATTCAACAAAACATTAGTCTAAGTTATCATTCAACAGAACATTGGTCTGAGTTATGTGTCACAGCATTATTGAATACCTTCCAAGCGTTTCTTTTTTTCTTGCTCCATTTGATGTTCCCTAAAAGTACAAAACTATACATTTAATTCACAGTTGAAAGTTTCTTCCTTGTCACATCTATAACTAGCCTTGCAAGCCATTCTTTTGGTTTTTCCCATTGGGATTTCTCTGTTTTATAATTGTAATAATAGATCTTGCCCGATGAACTTGTGTGCTGGGACCACGGAAAACTTTCCTATGTAAAGGAGTAAATATACGCAAGAAAGTTTAGTGTACTAACAATGATATCAATTTAGATATTTTTTTCTTACATCAGTACTGATGCTATTGATTTTGAAATCACCAGAACTCTTTTGTAAGGAGTGATTTCGTTCAGCTGGTGATGTGCCCGAGGCACGTCGTGAAAGCTCTTTAACCTTGCTATAACTGGGTCTCTGTGAACGTGGAGACATTGTGCTGTTTCTTGATCTGGGAGAGTTATTACGGCTTCGAGAGCCACCATTAACATTAGAAGATTTCTCTGATCGACCTTCTTGCTGGTTGCTTGGCTTACTGGAATGCTTGCTTGACTACATGAAAACAAAAACACTTCACTAAAGAAAACTCCGTAATACTTTAAAGGAATTTATAGTGAATTGAATTGCGTATCTTATATTCAACTTTCAACATCGTAAATCAAAAACAAATATGTAATCAAGTTTAACATAACTCTTGGGAAAGCCACATTAAGCCACTTACAGTCAAGAAAATTTTTATATGGCAAATAAATGCTATTAGCCCATCAGTATGGGACACTTTGGCTAAATTTTCTTTGTTCAAAATGCATTTATTCAAAAGGTAGGATGCTAGCTTTTAATCAAAGGCATTTGCCGTATAATAATTTGCCCCAAGACAAATTTTGTTCACCTGTATGATCTACATAGGCAAATCAATCAAATGTCCCATTGGTACACAGTCAAACAAAGAAAATTTACCACATAAAAACTTGTCGCAAAAAGTTTACAAACAAGCCAACAAGTACTTGTTAAAGAAAATTTTTTCATCTGTAAGGGCTTTAAAGTTCAAAATATTCACAGAAATTTCTATGACTACAGCAGTGTAATCTAGCTGACTGTAATAACATAAACATATGAAAGCATTCAATCTTTAAAGCGATCTTGATGATGAATCCAACAGTGTTGTCCCCAATTCCTCTCCACAAACCTAAGTCAGCCATGGGAGCAGTTTGCAAATAAAACTAGAGTGCCAAATCACAGATGTTTTACAGTTTTAGAAAATTTGCTGCCATGCTAAGAGAGCACAACGTATAAAGTATCATGTTTATCTGGTTGGTATGCAGTAAGTCTGGGAAGTTTCTAGACCTACTACATTTACAGATAAAGCTTACTGTCATAAACAACAAACTAATAATAAACAGCACACTGTGTTTACATGGCTTAACGAAATAAATACAAATTTAGCGAACAGAAAAGACTAGAGCACATCTCCATTCCTGCTGTATTTTCTTCCCCACCCCAATATCCAGTTTCTGTATTTCAAAATCATCACTTTGACGTATACACGTCAACAGTTAATGAACGAGCATTTTTAATTTATTCGATAATTATTTTGCTGCAAATTTTTCCTTCCTTCCGTCTTGTACACGATACAAACCTGATTATATGGGCTTCTCTCATGATACCTAAAAATAGAAGAAATAATCAGCAAACAAGCTCTTCGTACAAGCATGGCAATGGATGTCTAAAATTCAAGATGGCCGACACAAACAATCGTCTTTCTTTGAACTCACCCGTCAGACAGCCTTGGGTACTTTCTAGCACTCATGAAAGTAACCTCTTGAATCGCATTCAACGTTACTTGTCCCCACGGAGAACATTTAACGTTCAAAAAGGCGATTTTTCAAAGGAAATATGGACATACAGTGTACATACTGCTGGTCCTCCATAGCTAACGGATCATGTGACCTGTAAGATCGAACCCAGTCTCCGATCTCTCGTGGCGCGCAACGCGGACAAAATGCACGAAAACGTATGATTTAAATTTTATGTGAAAATTTAATTTTTTTAGCGCTAAATTTACATTTCCATGTAGAATGAATGCAAAAATGTCTTATAAATTACGTTAATTTTGCTCAAATTGCTGATTTATTGCAAGAATTAGCCCTCCTCTGTGAAAAAATTAACATAAGAAGTGCGTGAAGAGGAGGACCCAAATTTCAGTTCATTAAAAGTCATGTTATACATACAGTCTTTCTGTGATTTTCAAAAATACCAGAATTTTCTGTTTATAATCATCAGTTTGCACATTCATTAAAGTTCCATCATTTCTGTTGTTAGTGGGATTCAATTTTTCTACAAAGGAAAATTAAAAATTGTCTGAGACCATTTTAAATGTTGAGCTTTTCGTGTGCTGAAGGCATTAAAAACAAAAGATTTCTTGCACAAGATCTTATAGATGGAAATATGATCTGAGTGATCTCATCTATCCAAATACGATCTTATCTGTCTCTCATCAATCAAATAAGATCCTAATTAGTTCCTCATCAATTTTCAATTCTCTTTAACACATGCAGCACATGAAAAGTTAAACATTTGAATCACTTTAAACATAAGGAAAGATGACTACATTAAGACAGCAGGGGTTGTAAGTTAATGTTTTTGAAACTTGAGCATTTCACGAAATCATCTCAAAATTGAATACAAAACAAGAATTTTACTTGTGAGGATGAAACACAAGAATATATTAAAAAAACATTAAAATATATCAAATTTTTATTCAATTATTTTAAGTAATTCCAATTAAGTTAGAATGCTATCTTTTAAATATAAACTCAAATACACTTTTTTTATTAATAATATACATAACAATGTTAACAATACGTTAATGTGCATCATCAATTAAGATGTCATCACTTCACTAAAGATTTAAGCATTCAATTGAAATTCACCATAGCTTGTTAATCTGCTGTTGTTAGATAGTTAGGTCCTGTAATTTATTATAAACCGGACATTTGGAAACTATTTCTGAAAAATAAATTAAGAAATGACTTAGGTTGGTCGGATTATGTTTTCATAGATAATTAAAAGCACTCGTATTTTGAATGGGCAGTTCTTGATTAGGGTTTCAGTGTTTTTTGGGCAAAAAAATCACACAAAATTCATTCAATATGAAAATTTAGATTAAAAAGCAAATTGGTAGAAATTAAGCATAAAATCTCACAATATTTTCTCAGATGGCATCCTGTGAATTCGCCACTTTTGATATGCAGAGATCACGAAAGTCACCATGTATAAACCAGCAGCAAAAAAACAATTCCTGCAAAAGTCAAATCGTCATATGAATGTCGTATCGTAAATCAATATATTTTCACGTATTCAAATTAATTAGACAAACCTTGACGTCTTCCCATAGTCATTTTGTTTATCTACATCTTCTACAAGTGCTACGCTTTTTAAATGAAAAAAAATTCCCAAAAACACCTAAAAAAATGTTAATTCAGACATCAAAAATTCACATCACACACGAACTGTCCAACTTCGTCGAATATAAATTTTCATCAACCAAATTTTGTAAAAACAACAAACTATAATCAGACATTAGCAAAATATGATAAGACGATGCACCTACCAGCATTATAATGCCCCAAAAACTCAATACCAAGCAGCAATTTGCTGACTTCGGACCCATTGTACAACCACCACATTTCGCCATCTTTGTGGTTCTTCTTGTTCAGATGTTTCCACAACCGGTATAATGCACTTCGATTTTCAATTAAGATCCAATAAACGCCCCGACTCTAATAAACGCCCTCCTCAAGGTAAGTATATGTATTTGACTCCTTTGACTAATAAACGCCTTGTCTTCAATAGACATCTCTCCAACATTCTTTTCCAGTAATGCTTTCACTGAACAATGCACCTCCTCGAGCTTTGTCCATATGAACTGTGAGCAGGAATATTCAGTTGATTAATCTATGATAAACCTTTTGCTATACCGGTAATAATAAGACGCCTTGTCTTCAATCAAATCAAGGTCCCTTTTGATTACCTTTGACATATATCATCATAGTGGGCTGTTGATTTGGCTCTAAAACTATTTATTTCATCACAGTTTTTTTTATATGCTTACAATGAAGAGATAGAAATATATAAATGTCTCTCTCCATTAGACACCTTGTATCTATTAAACGAATCTCCCAAGAACCACTAGAATAGGTAATTTACAGTATTCTATTTGCAATACTGTGATGTTTCAAAAATACAATCTGTGCAACAAGACACTTTTTTTCATCTGAATTTGCTTCAAAAAAAAAGCATCAAAGAAATCTGTTTTGCAAAAAAATCATATATAACCCACAAATTGAAAACAGTTCCATTGCGCTGTTTAACATCTATCGAACAGACTGACAACATGACACTACACTAGCAGATTACAAATTTTTTAAAAATAAGCATTTCTTAATGATTATTTTTCATAAATCGTCGCCGCCTCTTCAACATTCGATGTTCAATCATTTCACCTTCTGGTGTTTCAGGTACAAGAACCTGTCCCATAATTCTTCTGGGCTTTGGTGTTCCCAAACTAAACAAATACTTATTATTGTTTGATACTTTGTATTCTGAAGTGGCATCACAAAGAGGCTGACGTGTCCTACACCTCAATGAATGATCTTCATTCTGTCTTAATGTTTTTGAGTTTCTTGTTGATTTTCCATCAGAAAACTGCAAACTCGGAAATGCATTTTGATTACCCCCTTTGACATGAACGATATCTTTCTGCTGCTGTTTTTCCCTAGCCAGTCGTGTTCTTGATGATTTTTGCCTTCGACCTTGTCTTGAACTATAATCATTATCTTTGGGAAATTGTGGCGAAACCTTAAGTATACAAACATTCCTTAATATTGTATTAGGTTCTGAATTGTGTGAGTTCCATTTGACGTCCTACAAAATCTGAAAATACTGCTATACACCTAATGCTGTATAAAAATTATACTTGATAATTACAAGTTTATAAACATAGAATACAGGGAGCAATTATAAAATACCCCTCTCCCTCCCATTTTTAAAAGATACCGTTAGAAATTCGAGGATATCGAATACATATTAAAACATAACAGTAAAGTTAAACTAAAGTATCAACTAGTTATCATTTATTATTTGTATAGTATCATCTAGTTATCATTTATGGTTTGTATAGTATCATCTAGTTATCATTTATTATTTGTATAGTATCATCTAGTTATCATTTATGGTTTGTATAGTATCATCTAGTTATCATTTATTATTTGTATAGTATCATCTAGTTATCATTTATTATTTGTATAGTATCATCTAGTTATCATTTATGGTTTGTATAGTATCATTTAGTTATCATTTATTATTTGTATAGTATCATTCAGTTATCATTTATTATTTGTATAGTATCATCTAGTTATCATTTATGGTTTGTATAGTATCATCTAGTTATCATTTATGGTTTGTATCATCTAGTTATCATTTATGGTTTGTATAGTATCATCTAGTTATCATTTATGGTTTGTATAGTGTCATTTAGTTATCATTTATTATTTGTATAGTATCATCTAGTTATCATTTATGGTTTGTATAGTATCATCTAGTTATCATTTATTATTTGTATAGTATCATTCAGTTATCATTTATTATTTGTATAGTATCATCTAGTTATCATTTATTTTGTATTTGTTATCAGTATAGTATCATCAGTTATCATTTATTATTTGTATAGTATCATCTAGTTATCATTTATGGTTTGTATAGTATCATTCAGTTATCATTTATTATTTGTATAGTATCATCTAGTTATCATTTATGGTTTGTATAGTATCATCTAGTTATCATTTATTATTTGTATAGTATCATCTAGTTATCATTTATGGTTTGTATAGTATCATTTAGTTATCATAGTATATCAGTTATCATTTATTTTGTATAGTTATCATCATCTAGTTATCATTTATGGTTTGTATTGTATCATTTAGTTATCATTTATGGTTATCATTTATCATTTATTATTTGTATAGTATCATCTAGTTATCATTTATGGTTTGTATAGTATCATTCAGTTATCATTTATGGTTTGTATTGTATCATTTAGTGGTCATTTATGGTTTGTATAGTATCATTTAGTGGTCATTTATGGTTTGTATAGTATCATTTAGTTATCATTTATGGTTTGTATAATATCATTTAGTGGTCAATATAAAGAACGAGGCATATTATATAAGTGGATAGCGAGTGGACGGATATTCTGTAATCTAGCCGAGTTAAGAAAAAGACATCACTTAGAGACGTACCCATTTGGCATTCAATAATCGTCCTGGTATACTTTCTTCAACAAGACAAGGTTTCTCGGCTGCAAACACGGGTGACATTATATGCTTCGCGCCATTAAGTGGACTTTCTACAAAGTCCAACGGTTCTTTGTGTCTTTGCATGGCTCCTTATCCACCTGCAGCTTCGTGTAGATTTGTGTAGAAAACTGTAAAACCTACAAATAAACACATTGTATACAATATAAATTTTAAAAACAAGACAAACTTCGTCCTAGATCAGTACGCTATACTTCATGAAAACAGAATGAAATGGACGAATTTTCGATTCGACGGAGAACTGGATCGAGTTCACATTCTTGTCTTACACATTTTAGTCGAATATTCAAACATAATGTGAAACTTTCAAGATACCATTTTCTAAATCAACTTTAGAGCATGAAATCAATTCTAACTTTCAGAAAAACATATTTAAAAAGATATTGCTCAAGCTTTTGGTTGAGTTTCAAGTCATAAAATGTGGCAAATAGCACGCAGAGTCGTGAAAGAAGAAAAAAAAAGTCGACAGAACCCTGCGACATTCCGAACTTACTCAACCTATAATTGCAATTAATACAGTAAAAGAACTTCATCAGAACTTAAAATGTACACTTTTAAAAGGCATGAATGGACAGTTATTAATTATTGATGTTTGTCAATATATTCTCGGACGATTTTCGACTACTTTAGATACATCACGATCCTATCGACTACTTTAGATACATCACGATCCTAACACTTCAACAAATTAATACTTAAAAATCTATACATTAAATTATCCTAAATGAAAAGTTTCTAAAATTCTACATCTTATTCTGTCTAAGAACACAGCACTACTACTTCACATAGTATGAAGACAGAAAAGTTATGACCTTCATTTACAATATCATCATTCTCCCTAATTCATATAACATATATATTTATAATTTCTACATAAATAGGCTTGTGACCCGCACGCCCGCAATGCTTGGAACCTTCAACCCTCACATATTGTACGCTACATAGATAGGATCAAGCTGATCCGCAAGGAAGGCATCGCGCAAATGCATACGCTGTTTTTCACCACGAGAGTTGATGGGAACAACCCGTGGATCTACAACGACAACTACGCCGACGACAAGTTGGTGCTCCTCGAGTACGATGTTTGTGATCAGCGGCACGACATCCAGAGCCTCGTTCTCGTTTGCCTCCAGCTCTACAACTACGACCAAGAGATTGGTCCACGTAAACACAGCACTACAATGGAAGAAGTCGGGTTATTTTATGACAATTTTGATGGTCATGACAAGATTCATTCATCCACTCATTCATTTGTTCGTTCGTTCCTTCACTCATTACCCTTACCTTTCACAGATAGATTTGTGACTGCGGACGACTGAATTTTCGATGTCGATGGGATGATAACGCATACCACGCAATGTCAATGCTTCGTGAAGAGAACCAACAACAAACAAGGCATCATGACGAGCTAAAAACAACACAGAACATGAAAGAGGATGAGTTAGTGCAGTACGCCAGTACTATATAACTCAATTTACCAGAGGGGGGCGAACACATGAAATCGTAAAAGTGTGACGTTATCGTATGACGTCAAAGATGATACGTCAGACTTCAAAAGTCTTGTAAGTCATAAACCCAAATGAAAAGAATCTTTATGTTTGAATCTTAAGTAATAGCCGAACAATCGGTCTACATCCCCAACTGTCCCCCCCCTCCCCCCCTTCCACTTCGTCAGTCCTGCAGTACACGGAATTGGCAAGGTAAAAATGTGATAGAAAACATTCGAAGCCACACAATTAACGGTGATGTAAGGTACTACATTTAAAAAGAGTTCTCATAAACTATTCAGATAACGAAAATAAATTGATCAAACACACAAGCAATCATTAGCTTGAATGGATTCTGGCAAAAAACGACATGACACCATCTTTGTATAAATAACATCAAATAGACTGAGGACGACAGTACTTTATGGTAAGTCTCTAGCGTGAGTTGTGTGTTTTAAACTATCACTGATCTTTATAAATGCCTGGATATAGAAAGGGATACCATAAACGTAGAAAATTGTTTGACACCTAAACTGGATGGTTTTAAAATGATAAATCTGGAAAAATTCCAAATCTTAAAAGCATCTCATCTTGGAACTGTTGACAGAATTCTCGAATCCTCAATCAACGCTGTTGCGTAAAAATATTCAAGAAAAATTTACCACATAACATTTTTTTATAATCCATGTTTAGGTCACAAACTACACACTAATAAATTAGTAATTAGGAGAACACACAACATCCAGGATAATTAATATATAGATCAGTAGAAAACGTCGATAAATCATACCTCCGTCTGTCTGCGTATAATCCGTCCTTTTGATGAACCCAAGATATCCAGTGCGCGCGTATTTGGTGGTCGTATTTCCGGTCAATAACTGAGCTTGAAAATGTTCCGTTGACTGGAGTGGGTTTGTGTTAAAATAACCAGTGCCATTATGAGGGCTGTTCACCCATATCTATAACGACAACAAAATCAACAGCCGTCCTTTTAAAACGATGCCGAACTCCTGCTTATTTAAAAGCAAAAAACCTCTTACTTCGCCCAAATGTGAATCTCCTAACGGACCTTTACTTTCTGGGTTGGCTATGATAACCTTGACGCCGGGTAAAATTTTGCCAGATTCTTGTAGGCAAATGCTGTGCGGACTTCCCTTTTCAACTAAAGTCACCCTTAAACATTTAAAAAGAACTTTCCATTAGTTGTCTGAAGTATGTACGGGGACGGAAATGTCAATATTTTGGGTGAAGAGAAAGTATCGACCAATCGTGACGTGAATCGACGATGACGTGACGCCTCCACGACACGTGACGTGACCCTCCACGACACGTGACGTGAGAATTGCCCTCCACGACACGTGACGTGACCCTCCACGACACACGTGACGTGACCCTCCACGACCACGACACACGTGACGTGAGAATCGCCCTCCACGACACACGTGACGTGAGAATCGCCCTCCACGACACACGTGACGTGAGAATCACCCTCCACGACACACGTGACGTGAGAATTGCCCTCCACGAAATGCGGTTGAAATTCACAGCAAATTGACATAAAGAAAAACGTTTTTAAGAAGTTTTGCATCGAACAAAAAAGAGAATCGTGCACGAAGACTTTTGCTGCAAGCTTTTCATTTGTTCTGTCGCTGTTCTGCGATGAATGAAAAAATAAAATACCTGTCATTCCGAAGAGCTCTAGTATCAACAAAAACGGTGCTTGTCTCGGGGCTGGCAGAACCCTGGGAAATATAAAAGTTTCATGTAAAAATTTTTCTAAAATCATACCGGTGCACATGTTGTGTAATGTAATGTAAAATCTTATTTAAACTGTAAGACTCGTTCGTCCACTTAAAGCTGGTCTTATCTGAGTTGACAGCATGTACAATAATCCCATTGTATTGTCATACTAAATAATTATACACAAGAACTACAAAAATTACTTAAATTTACAAACTACACCTGTGCGAAGATTTATACAGCTTCAGCAAATGCTTACAAACAGTTATATTAAAATTTTCGACAATTCTATATCTCTCAACCTCGGTTAACCTGCATGTTATCTTTCTAGCTAAAATAGAGGATCTTTGATGGATACCTGTGTACATATAGCGACATTAACACGACATCCAAAAGATGTACTGACGGATCTTGGCGAAAGACCAAGACCAGAAAACAGAGTAGAAAATGTCGTGTAAGGTTGATTCGAGGACGTTCTTCAGCAACGACAACACAAGATCGAACACAGGCAAGATTAACGCCTTTCGCCTGAAATAAGCAAAATGCAACATGGAAATCGCCCATCTTCAATAAAGGATTGTCGAACAGCACAGAAACGTATATTAAGTATAATTATAGACGGTAAACAATAGGTTACCAAAGAGCTACTTGACAAAATACGTGTACCCAGCAAGTGTGTTTTTTAACACGTCTGTACAGCTATTTTGCAGACTTTCAAAGCAGAGATGGATTTAGGGGAAAGGGAGTACACCCCTCCTTGCCTTGAGTAGAGGGGGCAGCAGGAAGGTTCAATACAAAATACTAATATATCAAACAATCAAGTAAAAGCAACTGAGGTCAGTGTTTTATGGAGGATGCGTCGTAAAACCTCCCAATCATGGTACAAAAAAGGCAACAGAATTCAACAAAAATAGTTTGACATTTTACGGGAACACGTAGCCACCGAAATCAAATACAAACTAAAGACCCCACTCCCCCGTACAAAATAGTGGATCCATCCTTATTCTAAAACTAATATTCTCCGTTATCCTGTTTCTAATTTCTAAATATCGCAGATGCAAAACATGAAACGAGATTGATGATTGAATAACTAAACTAGAGATGTGTCTTTATTTTCATTTAATCCATTTATAATAAAAAACTTACTCTTAAAGATGGGATGTGCTGACCAAGTCCTTTCGTGCAAAGATCCATTACAGGATAAGAACAAAACGTGTCACGTACTAAAACACACGCCATAATAGAACATCGTAAAATGAAAACAAAATAACGAGTAATAACGCTACATCTTACATCTAAAAACATGTAACGATACTCTCGTGTTCACTTTAGCAAACTGCGTTAACACAATACACAAACAGTTTATATAATACATCAATGCTAAATATATAATACATCAAATATATTCATCATACAAACAGTTATCATACATCATAACATCATATAAACAGTTTATATAATACATAAATGCTAAATATATAATACATCAAATATATTCAAATATATAATACATCAATGCTAAACAGTATCATGTAGTTCAATACTCAAAACCGTCATACCTTTGTACTGACTAACAACAGAAAGCCATAGAGCTGGATTTTGTTCCAAATCTCCGGGAGCAACAAGAATCGTATGATGACCAGAAAATATACTATAAACAAGAACAACACCTTATCGAGATACGTATCTTGACCGTGAATACTCTTGCATACATGAAGTGATATAAAGGTATTCTTGACTGAACTTGACTAAATATCATCTATTTTGTCAAATTGATTATTTCATTTAGAATTATATTTTAGAAATAAACTAGTGCATAAATATTACATAGTTTCTTTGTACGTTATTGTATGCAACATGTTATTAATATTAATTTAATATTTTGACTTGCAAGCATTGATATAACACAATTTTTAAGTGTATCGAATTTTGTAAATACTACAAGTAAACGGCCTCTCGAAAAACAGGTGCCTATGACTCCTGAAGAGTTACCGTTCTTAAATATTTACAAATAATAATAAGTACTTACCCAGTTAATGCCCACATTACGAATCCTAAACCTGAAAATGGATCGAGACAAAGACAGATGTCACGTGATGGGTAGAGTTCGCTGGACATCTTCATTGACCGACATAATGCTGCGACACCTGCATGTGACATCTGAAAACACGATAAAAAATCACGATTATACTCGACTTTCAAGCAAAAGTTGAATTTGATAAATGATACTCGTCAAAATAAGAAATTGATGTCAAAAGCAGCAATTAAGAAATACTAAGAATGAAATATTATTACTTGTATTTACTATTGTTATATTGTGAACACGTCACATCACAACGCATGTGTTTTGTAACTACCATGTCAATCAAAACAACTGTGGTTTACTCATATCCCTAACTATCATGTCAATCAAAACAACTGTGGTTCACTCATATCCCTAACTATCATGTCAGTCAAAACAACTGTGGTTCACTCATATCCCTAACTATCATGTCAATCAAAACAACAGTGCTTTACTCATATCCCTAACTATCCTGTTAGTCAAAACAACTGTGGTTTACTCATATCCCTAACTATCATGTCAGTCAAAACAACTGTAGTTTACTCATATCCCTAACTATCATGTCAGTCAAAACAACTGTGGTTTACTCATATCCCTATCATGTCAGTCAAAACAACTATGGTTTACTCATATCCCTAACTATCATGTCAATCAAAAAAACTGTGGTTTATTTATATCCCTATCATGTCAGTCAAAACAACTGTGGTTTACTCATATCCCTATCATGTCAGTCAAAACAACTGTAGTTTACTCATATCCCTATCATGTCAGTCAAAACAACTGTAGTTTACTCATATCCCTATCATGTCAGTCAAAACAACTGTAGTTTACTCATATCCCTCACTACTCATACCTTCACACCAGTCAAAACGCCAGTCGTGGAAACACTGAAGTCAACGTAAGCCAACAGTTCAGCTGTTGGAGGGTTATAAGGTCGAAGAAGTTTCTTCTTCGGGGGATCATCTGTGTTTAGAAGGTGAGGCCAATGCTTGTTGTTAACGATATGTAAGGCTTCTTTAGATTTTAATAATTTAACAATAGCACCAGTAGTGAGAATAGCTTGTGATTGGCTCAATTCAATGACCATGCGCAGTGTAGGCAGCGTTGTCGCAATGTTCTTCAAAAAAGGTGGACGAATAGGGATTGGGATGAGACCTGAAGGATAAACGTAGGCGAAAAAACAGTTCAGTGAAAAATAGCAAGACAGTGAAGGATAACAGTAGGAGAAAAAAACCAACAGCAAATATATTTGAGAAATAAAAGCATTAGCCAGTACAAACACGAAAAACATCTTTCATTTCTTTTTTTACAAAATAACAATAGTGCAAGACAGATGAATTTGAAACTATTGTTTTAATTTTTCCTTTAACATCAATTCATGATTGATTTGCAAATTCTCTTTGATTGATTTATATGATTGAGCTCAGATCTGGTTTGCAAAGGCTAATGCAAATTCATCTATGGACCAATCAGCGAAAGCGTTGTATTGTTGTTATTTAATACGTAAATATAAAAATTTGTACTGCTCAGAAGTATATTTTCCGAACACGCGTTCCGAACTCGTTCGAAAATGCGTTCCAGTTGCGTTCCAATTGACCGGTAATTGTCATTTATACTCGATATACAAGTGTTCAATTTCGGAAATTTCCATGTTGCACCGAGTTAAATTGGACAATCGGGAACGCGTTCAGAACGTGTCCCCAAATTTTCTTGGAACGCGTTTCGGCCGCGTTCGAAACGCAAATGAAACGCGAACGCAGTGTTAAGTTACTTCTAAGCATGACCAATCAGGGAAAGCGTTGTATTGTTGTTATTTTAATAAATACAAAAATTTGCAAGAGCAACTGTCTTACCAGCATACAAGCAGGCGTACACAGCAACAATCAGATCGATTCCTGAATAAAAATGGATAAAAACGCAAGGGTGAACAATAAATTAGTCGCTTAGAAATTTCACCGTTAGTCATTGGTGATATGTCACGTCTAGGGGACTTTATAGGAAACAAATCTTCAAACATCAACGCTGGGTACCCCGAGAATAAAATAGGGTAATACAGTACTTGATTGATAAATTAGGGAATTACGGTACCTGATGGATAAAATTGGGAAAATACTGCGCCTGGTGGATAAACTAGGGTAATGCAGTACTTGATTGATAAATTAGGGAATTACGGTACCTGATGGATAAAATTGGGAAAATACTGTACCTGGTGGATAAACTAGGGCAATACGATCTCCTGAACTCAAGTCACCGCTCTCCATCGCCATCTGAGCAACTCTTTCGGCGCGTTTGTGTAACTGAAGACAGCTTAGTGTGGATGACAAACCTCCCTATGAAATATATAGAGATACTTAAAAGATAAAAGTTTTGGTGTAGTGAAGCAAACGTATACATAATTTGATTTCACGTTCATACCTTGACGTTTAGTAAGGAGAACAAAATGTGATCAGGTGTAGACTGCGCTCTCCATTTTAAAATCTCCGCTAAAAATTGAAACTATACAAAACAAGTTCATGCGTGAGTATGGAAGAGGAATGAGAAGTGTGGGGAGGGAAGGGAGAGGAAGGGAGATGGAAGGGAAGAGAAGGGAGGAAGGAGAGGAGGAGAGAGGAAGAGGAGGGAGAAGGGAAGGGAAGGAGAGAAGGAGAGATGGAAGAGGAGGAGAAGAGTGGAGGGAAAGGAGGGAAGGAAGGAAAGGGAGAAGGAAAGGAGGAAGGAAATGGAATAGCAAGGAATATAAATTTGATAAATATATAATATTTTATGATGCACCAAACCCACTTCCTTTCAATAAGAACTCCCACCTTCTTATCTATCTCGCTACTGATCTCCCCAATCTCTCGGCCCGAGGCCTCCCCGATCCTCGTTCCACGTAGAAGATTTCCCACCATAACCGCGCCTGGACCTGGTTCTAAACAATAAAACCAAAAAATATACACCATTTTTCTTGGACAGATGATCAACGCTAACAGTCAGCGACAGCAAATGATTGTAACATTCACTTCCACATTACATTAAAATCATTGGCAATAAAAAGTAAAAGACATCGGAAAAAACCTATAGAGGTGTTCCGTTGCTGTGACTTCATGTGACCTCTTTCCCAAGGTATCAAAAACTCAATAGTTAACTAAGTATTCGCGTTGATGCAGATATGTACAAAACCGTACCTTGATATTTTCCTCGCGGTTTAGGAAGATTGGTCACGCATCTGTAGAGAAATAATTTGTTTACCCTATTGTTGATCGAAAATTATTAAATCGTCAAATATCTTTTTAATGCATAATGGGGTGTAAACCTAGGAATGAGGACACATTGGGATATTAGATGGATGCATAAACTTACGCATGAGTACACATTAGGACATTAGATGGATGCATAAACTTACGAATGAGGACACATTAGAACATTAGATGGATGCAACGAGCCTTCCAAAAATCTCTGTTTCGTTTCTAACACATGAATGCTGCCGGTTGAGGTCTGAATAAGAATGAACTGGGTTACTCCAAGTATATACACATAGCGGTAAGGAGATTTGAAATGAACAAAACATGTTGTACCTTTGGTAAACCACCTGGACTGAGAAGACACAGACAGTAAATACCGACCTGTAAAATCATACATAAATTCAATCAAACTGAACTGCTGAAATCATCAGTAGCGAAGAACACGAGTTTGAAAATCTTACGCTGTGAATACTGTCAACGGCTGGGATCACATGACTCATCCATTCAAAGGCCTGGAAAGAAATTAAATAATTCAATCGTGGCATGATGAGTTGAAGATATAAAATAGAAAAAAAGCATCTTAATGACCATTATACGAATGCTATTTTATTTCCATCCATTATCAAGCTATTTAGTATACATTTCTATGATAAATTTGTTTTCATAACAAAGTGGACCTCGAAATGTTTGAGTGCGACTTGCTGACTGGTGAAAAAATTGACACTGGTGATATTGTTGGCAACAGATTTTTGGCGAGAGGCCGTCACTGGATAAGGGGCCTGGGAACTGTTATAAAAACATGGCTGGCTGTTGAACAAAAAGAAGAATTGGGAACTTTTGAAACGTCCTATATATCTTAAAAATAGTTTATCCAAGACTACGAAAAACCGGTCAAGGCATTAGCAAACGCACTTTCGGAAAAATCTTCATGAAATTGTTTTGCCATGAAAGGCGGCATCCATGTTTTTGGAAACAAAACACGCGCTTACAAAGAGTCATACAACATCCAGGTAAATAGACATACAGGTCAGTGGAGGTAGCATACCAGTTCTATATTTACTGTCTTAGATCATAGGTACCTCATTTTCATTACAATCTGGTCTCTGTTCAGCTACGACAACGATTCTTTCTTCGCGTAAAACCTTGATACCAAATATTGCGATCCTGTACGTATCAAAAAGTTTCATAAGTTGTCGAAATTGTACACACGACAAAATTTAGGATAAATTTTGCACATGTCAAGAGAAGATCACTCTTGAACAGTCAAGGTCTATGAAACTTTGAAAGATGAACAAAAAAAAGACGATCATAGAACATTCAAATTGATCTTCATCAACTTTCACACTTTATCCTCAAACACGCTGAAATCAAAATTACATTCAGGTACATTCAAGGACAAAAAGGACATTCAAAGACAAGCAAGGACAATTAAGAACATCCAATGACAAACAAGGACAAACAAAGACATTTACTTTTCTTTCAAGCCTCATTTCATGTATCGGTCACGTGAATTTCTCATACCTTCCTCTGTAAACGAACTTGATCGGATCAACGGCAAGGATGGTCGCCTTAAGATCATCGGAATTATGTCGACGTCCAGACACCTTTATAAGACCATCAACTGTACCACATATGAACACCAGACCGCCCTTCATAATGACAACCGTATTACATTCACAAAAGTGCACAAAAACGCAATTTTTCAAGACTTTACTTTTAGGAAGACTTGAGTAAAGTGCACTTGAAGGCATTTTCAAAAACCTAAATAATTCACTTACCGGTCCAAGAAAGCCAAGCAAACCCGTTCTCACATACTCCGAATAATGTGAATACTGCTCGACAGGTCCACCGTCTGAACCAAGAGGCTGAACCTGGAGGAAAATCAAATAAGATAAAAACACCAAATACAACTGATGTGCGACTGAAAACAAATAGAATTAATTTATGACTAAAGATAATAGAACTAATGCAAGTCTGCAGATGATACAAGTGATGTAAGACTAAAGCTAAATCAACTGATGTATGACTGACGAGGATACAAATGACATAACTACAAAAGACGGAAAGATATACGGTTAATAAACAAATCAATATCATCCACACAACACATACATAGACTTTATCGTGATGTTTAAATGGCCGTTCTACCCAACGTTTTTTCTAAATCTTCACCAACCTTGAAAGCATAATTTGTCTTTCCAACTAATCCAAAGTAGGCACTGCCAACTGTTCCACTAGCAACACAAAGCTCACCAACTTCGTCAGTCTTACAAAGATTTGGTCGCCCGTCTGGTTTAACAACTACAATTTTAACTGCGGAAAAAGAAACGCAAAGTTCACGTAATAGTACTTAATTTGTAAATAAACAACAAGTAATTTTGACAGTTTTTCAACCTTACCCCCGGGTGGAACAGTGCCACAGTCCTGTAAAGTCAATGACGTTACAGAACCTTCTTTATCGACTCTCACGACACCATAACTGAGACCGTTTAGGGACAGCACACCTCTACCTGTAGCCGTTGAGCCGGGCTTTCCTGGCCTAAAAAGTATGAAATAGTTAGATTTCCACTCCAAAAAAGTAGAGATTCCTATTCTTTTCGAGATATTCTCACCTTCTGATGGCAATTGTTAATGTTTCGGAAGAGCTGGCGCAGGGACACAATGACTCTGGTTTCAGTCCCTTTGTTTGGAATTCACTTATGAAAGCATCACATGCAGACAATGACCCTAAACATATGGATATAAGGAACATTAGGAGATACTTGCATTAAACGCGTAACAATCCCAAACAAATACAATTCCTTTTAATGAAAGGAGTGTGTTTGGAGAACGGTTTCGCGACAATGCTTGTCGAGCTTTGACAACAATAGACATCCATTTTCGAAGCACCCAAATACGGCGGGAAACATTATGTTGTTAGTGCGGCAACATCTCTATTTCTACTACCAAAGCACCCAAATACGGCGGGAAACATTATGTTGTTAGTGCGGCAACATCTCTATTTCTACTACCAAAGCACCCAAATACGGCGGGAAACATTATGTTGTTAGTGCTGCAACATCTCTATTTCTACTACCAAAGCACCCAAATACGGCGGGAAACATTATGTTGTTAGTGCTGCAACATCTCTATTTCTACTACCAAAGCACCCAAATACGGCGGGAAACATTATGTTGTTAGTGCGGCAACATCTCTATTTCTACTATCAAATCTGATCCATTAACACCAAAGCGCGGTAAAGCCAAAAATGAAGAACAAATAATAAGAGCGAAATTAAAGAAAGAGGTAATTTCCCATTTGGTTAGTGAGAAAACAATCCCCAAACTGCGTATCGGTAGTTCATATCGGCGATCCAAAACCGGAAATAAACACAAGCGCGCAAAGCATTTCCTCGAGACTCATTCTTAAAAAGATTTGTAGAAAATCAATACTTACATGGATTTGCTCGGTCGGCCAGCAATAACATTCGAATCGAGCTTAGATTCACGTCCTTGATCTCCTTGGTCGCATGAAGCGACCAATGTAAGTCTCGAGATGATACCAGAGCACAGGTCGCTAAGGATGCGGTAGGATAAGTTAGAGATAAATGTGTACATACGGGTATACGTAGTTTACAACGTTCTACCTCTTTGTTTGGTGATCACTTGTAACCACATAGCAGGGTTGACTTTCAATATACTTCCTGGTACAAATATCACATGCATGCCATTGTAAACACTCTAGAAAACAATAACACACTTGGGATAAGATGGCGCACAAGGGGGGGAGGCAATTCCCAAACAATGAAACATGGTACGGGGGTGGGTGGGTGAATTCATAAACCATGAAACTTACAGTCAATATTGAATGCCATAAACCGACTTCTCTTTTGAAGTCGAGAACGCTCACCATTGCCTCACCTAAGAAAATCATTAGGTTAGGTAAGGGTATAGGATTTGAAGAATGTAGGCAAAAATTGTACGTAGAAATTATACCAGCTGTGTAAGAACAAGCTTGAGTCACCATTTGACAATGTGTGAGTAAGTTTGATCGCGTTACTGTGACACCAAGAGCTGAACCATCTTTGCCTATTGTAGACTGTCATATAAAGGTATGAATAAGACTACAGTGTTGAGGTAATAATATAGAAGTATAGGTAACAATATAGAAGTATAGGTAACAGTATAGAAGGATAGGTAACAATATAGAAGTATAGGTAACAGTATAGAAGTATAAGTAACAATATAGAAGTATAGGTGACAATATAGAAGTATAGGTAACAATATAGAAGTATAGGTAACAATATAGAAGTATAGGTAACAATATAGAAGTATAGGTAACTATATAGAAGTAACAACATAGTATATATATAGGTAACAATATAGAAGTATAGGTAACAATATAGAAGTATAGGTAACAATATAGGTAATAAAATATAGAAGTATAGGTAACAATATAGAAGTATAGGTAACAATATAAGTAAGGTATAGGTAACAATATAGAAGTATAGGTAACAATATAGAAGTATAGGTAACAATATAGAAGCATAGGTAACAATATAGAAGTATAGGTAACAATATAGAAGTATAGGTAACAATATAGAAGTATAGGTAACAATATAGAAGTATAGGTAACAATATAGAAATAGGTAACAATATAGAAGTTTAAACGTAAACAAAGTTCGACAAGATTGGACGGAGGTCGCCAATCCTTCGGAGGCTTTCCAACTCTCTCCATGTAATACCAACGAACATTTGGCCAACCTACACCATAATAATTAAAATCAAGAACACAAGATCAAACAGGACATTCAATCTTGACTAACAATTGAGCAACATGATCGACACAAAATTGCTATTAAACTCAAAGCACGGAAGCAAAGCCGGCTTTCTTCGTAAGTATTCTCTTTAGTCTTTCAATGTTATTTTATTTTCAACCTCATTTGATGAAAAAATTTTTTTAGTAATATCTGAGTACTGATCATTGAACTGAATATAAACGGAAGGCCACTTCCCGCCAAAATTTGAAGCCAGACATTTAACTAGTCCCAATCTTTCCACGCACGGTCCAAAAAAAGTTCATTTACGATATTTAACTAAAATGCGTGACTTCGCCACACGACTTGCTTGTTCAGTGGTAAAATTTGCCTTCATACAAGTACAGGAGTGTTTATGAAAAGGTAGCCTTCCGGTTACATATTTCATTGAATGTACAAACAATACACGAAAATTTACTCTTGAGGAAAAACCCTCATTAAAGTCGTCGTTAAATAAAAACACAAGTCTGCGAAAGTTTTCATTTCTTCGCAATGGATCATTTAAGTAGAGCAAAAAAAGACATGATAAAGATACACTACATAAAAGATTATTATATACGTAGCTACGTCTTGAGAAAAATCTATTTTCATTGCCAGAACGAGTGTTCGAGGTAATCAAACCTTTGAAATGAACGATGTTGCCTGTTTCATCCTTCGGTAATGTTTTGAAACAAGTTTCGGTCGAGAGAACCCATGAGACTCCACAGCTTCCAAGAAGAAACCCAATCTGCTGACCGCCTGGATCCTTGTAATAGAAATGGACAGATTGAATGTTGGCAGATAAATGAAACTTATCCCATAAAGACCAAACTCGTCCCATCATATTCAAACTTATCCCATCATGACCAAACTCGTCCCATCATACTCAAACTTATGCCATCATAACCAAAGTCATTCCATCATACTCAAACTTATCCCATCATGATCAAACTCGTCCCATCATATTCAAACTTATGCCATCATAACCAAAGTCATTCCATCATAGTCAAACTTATCCCATCATGACCAAACTCGTCTCATCATATTCAAACTTATGCCATCATTACCAAAGTCATGCCATCATACTCAAACTTATCCCATCATGACCAAACTCGTCCCATCATATTCAAACTTATGCCATCATAACCAAAGTCATACCATCATACTCAAACTTATCCCATCATGACCAAACTCGTCCCATCATATTCAAACTTATGCCATCATAACCAAAGTCATACCATCATACTCAAACTTATCCCATCTTGAACAAACTTATCCCATCATGACCAAACTTACACCATCATGACCAAACTTACACCATCATGACCAAACTTACACCATCATGACCAAACTTACACCATCATGACCAAACTTACACCATCATGACCAAACTCGTCGCATTCTATTCAAACTTATCGTTAAAAAGCTCGCATCATATCTAAACTGATCCCATCATGATACTCAGCTCACTCATTTATGACCAATCTCATACCATCATACTCAAACTTATCCCATCATAACCAACCTCATACCATCATACTCAAACTATTCCTTCGTGACAAAACTCAATCCATCATATCTAAACTCGTCCTTTTTTGATAAACCTTGTCCCTTTATGACCAAACTCGTCCCATCATATACATTTTCATCCCTCGAATATTTCTACACAATCCCCAACAACGTAACCAGCGGGTAGATGTATACATACGTACCTCCCTGGTTTTTGGTGGTTCGACGGCAACGGGAGTAATGCCAGCCAATAGGCAGCCATAGAATGCCGTAGAAAAGCCAATAATATCATCGGGATGGTACATCAAAGCCACCTTAAAAAGATAAAAAATATGACGTAAGAAAGATTTTATAATATTGTGTCGATTACATAACAATTTGCTCAATGTCAGTGTCGCAGAGAAATAAAAATGAGATCACGCATGCTCTGAGAAATGAAATAGAGTGCAAGGAGTCTGGGCACAAATCTCGGTAGTGGTGAACAGGCCATCTTAGATCAGTGAGCGACTAATAGCAGAGATGGCTCTTCGACATCGAGTCTTCCAGAACTAGTCACAATTAACCTATAGCTGTTTTTCTATACTAGGCGGTATTTTTTCATTGAGACGATTTTATTTCATGAAAATTTTTGAAATTCCTTCAAGTGACCAGAGCAGTTGAATTTCAAATAAAATTAATGGAAATAAAGTTCTTCGATGATAAGCTTCCGCCATCTGAAAACAGCCTCGTTTAAAGATAGAAACCTACGCTAATAATCCAAGTGAACTTTCAATGACTGGCATGAAAATTTACCACGTACCCTGTCACCCATCATTATAGAAGTTCCGTCTTTAGGATTACCAACTTTGTTTAGTAATGTGAACGCGATTTTTTGTGCTTTGCTCAGCAGTTTTCCTATACGCGAAAAGAAAACAACATTCGAACAAATTGCATGAACGAATCATAGCAATAAGAGAATGTAATTTTATATAAATACGTACCATATGTAAGTGTGTAGGATGTTTTGCAGTGATTGTCAATGGTAGATATGGCCGCTGCTTTGTGGTGACTTGTACCATATCGATACAACGATTCTTCTAAGCTGTTTCCCCATTGAGCTTGAGACTAGATAAGGAAAAAAATTTTCAGAACAAAGAAAGCTGATTTCGTGATAAGTTTGTGACAACAAGATGTGAAATTCCAAAGCAATTAGCATCTAAAGAGATATCTATTTCCTTAAAGGAAAGGCTTTACAGCATCTACAGAGATATCTACACTCTAAACAGAATGGTTTACAGCATCTAGAGAGATATCTACCCTCTCAACAGAATGGTTTACAGCATCTAGAGAGATATCTACCCTCTTAACAGAATGGTTTACAGCATCTAGAGAGATATCTACACTCTAAACAGAATGGTTTACAGCATCTAGAGAGATATCTACACTCTAAACAGAATGGTTTACAGCATCTATAGAGATATCTACCCTCTTAACATAATGGTTTACAGCATCTAGAGAGATGTCGACCTCCTAACGTGAATAAGCATACAGCATAAAGATATATACTGTATCTATCTTCTTACCTGAATGGGTTCACCAATTGACGGTTTCGTCGTGATGCCTTCTGGTTTTGGGGCACTGGGATCGAGTTTTGGTTCTGAAAGATGACAGAGGATGTAGAGAATTTTGAAAAAACTCATTTCAATAGAAAAATTCTCAATGCTTCAACTTTATCACAAACTGGAAAAAAGAAAGTTATCTTTAAAACAAGCATAGTAAGTTGTGAAAGATGGCGAGCCGTGGGTGAGGGGGAGGGGTGGCTGAGTCATAGCTAACACAGAGCCAACGAAAGCGCATAAAGCTGCTGAGGCAACAAGAATCAAGAAAAGGATTTGGTCAGTGAATGAGAAGAAAGAAAATGTACATTTTTATGTTGTACCTTCAACGATGTCGTAATCATCTGTGAAATACTGCTCCAGTGGTTTACGCTTTGGTCTCTAAATACACAAAAAAACCTCGTTATTGTCGTCACTAACAGTTTACCGAACTATCGGAAAAATTAAACGCTCTTTCAGAGATGGGAAAGAAGGTATAATTTTGGTGATGTTCACCTTTCATTGACAACTTCGTGGACATAGTTTGGGATGTCCAGGCAGGGGGTATTATTTTGGTAATGTTCACCGTTCATGGACAACTTCGTGGACATAGTTTGGGATGCCCAGGGAGGGGGGGTATTATTTTAGTGATGTTCACCGTTCATTGACCACTTCGTGGACATGATTCAATTAATTTCAAACAACTTACCTTAAGCGTGTTCAACAGTTGTTGAATCTTATTTGAGACCTTTCCTGGTGAGGAAGCTGTAAAGAATACAATACGGAGAGATAATTCATACTGCATTTTTCAATATGTAAGGTAGCTGGTATAAAGTGAAACGTTTGAACCCGGGAGTAAGTTTATGTCAAGTGACTCTGAAAACGACTATAGTTAAGGCTGTTGACATGTCAGTCAACACCAACAGTGGTTCCCAGGACCACACTGACCATGGCGATATACATCGACAAACTTATCCTTCTCAGGACCACACTGACCATGGCGATATACATCTACAAACTTATCCTTCCCAGGACCACACTGACCATGGCGATATACATCTACAAACTTATCCTTCCCAGGACCACACTGACCATGGCGATATACATCGACAAACTTATCCTTCTCAGGACCACACTGACCATGGCGATATACATCTACAAACTTATCCTTCCCAGGACCACACTGACCATGGCGATATACATCGACAAACTTATCCTTCTCAGGACCACACTGACCATGGCGATATACATCGACAAACTTATCCTTCTCAGGACCACACTGACCATGGCGATATACATCTACAAACCTATCCTTCGTGTACTGTTTACGTACGCAATTTACAACAACAATACAAATCAAAAAGCGTGAACTTACATTCAGTATTGGAATCCGACTCGGAACCAAGTCTAATTGATGCAACGTGCATTTGACTGCGTCTTTTCAGGCCCGCCTTGGAACGATCGCCTTCGATCATGACGGGCTGCGCAATGACAACGTCTTCTTCCATTGGTGACGTGTTGTTCTTAGCATTTAACACCGTCAGGTCTTCGGTCACATGTCTGTACTTATCTGGAGTGGGATTGTTTGATGGTGTGTTTCCATTTGACACTTTATCAGTATCATCGTAGTCGGCCAACGGAATTTCAACTGGAAACACAGTTTGATCGTTAGTAAAAAGGAGTTTATAGTGTATGTTAAAAGGGATGGAGTCGTGATGGTTTTTCAGGGGGGTGCTGTAGTTTGGTGTATGGTGGGGTGCAGGGGGGGTGCTGTAGTGATGGTGTACGGTGGTTCTTGTTGCCATAGCATGTCAGACTATTTTGTCAAATTGTGTTATCTTTTTATAATTGGGAGATTTTAGAACTGTCCTCCATTAAACACTAAACACAATTTCTGTTACTTTTGGAATACTATTATTTTGTAAAGAACCCATCGGGCCCCTCCTCTAGCCAAGGCTAGTAACAAAAGTAGGGCTTTGCTCCTTTTCCCTAATTCCATCCATGTTTACATATGGAGAGAGAGTTTGAGTTGGTTCAATACAAAATACCTTCACTAAGTTCCGTGGCCACTTTATGTCGAAGTGACTGCCTTTTAAATGGTAAAGGTCCATGAGATGGAGCCTGAGATCGCTGCTGCGCCAAAGCAGCCTGGACAACTTCGGCACGCAAACCTACTGAAGGTTTATTTAGAATGAAAATCACATATTTTTCACATCAGGACCTGACTGACCAATCAAACTCACCTGGCATTGGATGATAAGGAATGTCGGAACTAGGACTGAAGCTGTTGCGGTGTGTTTTCTCATTTGCTGGAGTTTCAGTTGGTTGTCCTGGAAAATACAAGGTATAACATGAGATTTGGGCAAATATATCAAGAAACATTCATTGCAACAAGTGTACTGTTCAATAAATATTTATGGCCTAGTGGTTACGTATGGTGTAGTGGTTATGTATGGCCTAGTGGTTATGTATGGTGTAGTGGTTATGTATGGTCTAGTGGTTATGTATGGTGTAGTGGTTATGTATGGTCTAGTGGTTATGTATGGCCTAGTGGTTATGTACGACCTAGTGGTTATGTATGGTCTAGTGGTTATGTATGGCCTAGTGCTTATGTATGGTCTAGTGGTTATGTATGGCCCAGTGGTTATGTATGGTCTAGTGGTTATGTATGGCCTAGTGGTTATGTATGGTCTAGTGGTTATGTATGGCCCAGTGGTTATGTATGGCCCAGTGGTTATGTATGGTCTAGTGGTTATGTATGGCCTAGTGGTTATGTATGGTCTAGTGGTTATGTATGGTCTAGTGGTTATGTAAGGCCCAGTGGTTATGTATGGTCTAGTGGTTATGTATGGTCTAGTGGTTATGTATGACCTAGCGGTTATGTATGGCCTAGTGGTTATGTATGGTCTAATGGTTATGTATGGTCTAGTGGTTATGTATGGTCCAGTGGTTATGTATGGCAAGTTGTTATGTATGGCCTAGTGGTTATGTATGGTCTAGTGGTTATGTATGGTCTAGTGGTTATGTATGGTCTAGTGGTTATGTATGGTCTAGTAGTTATGTATGGTCTAGTGGTTACGTATGGTGTAGTGGTTATGTATGGTCCAGTGGTTATGTATGGCCAAGTGGTTATGTATGGTGTAGTGGTTATGTATGGCCAAATGGTTATGTATGGCCTAGTGGTTATGTATGGTCTAGTGGTTATGTATGGTCAAGTGGTTATGTATGGTATAGTGGTTATGTATGGTCTAGTGGTTATGTATGGCCTAGTGGTTATGTATGGTGTAGTGGTTATGTATGGTCTAGTTGTTATGTATGGTCTAGTGGTTATGTATGGCCTAGTGGTTATGTATGACCTAGTGGTTATGTATGGCCTAGTGGTTATGTATGGTCTAGTGGTTATGTATGGCCCAGTGGTTATGTATGGTCTAGTGGTTATGTATGGCCTAGTGGTTATGTATGGTCTAGTGGTTATGTATGGTCTAGTGGTTATGTATGGTCTAGTGGTTATGTATGGCCTAGTGGTTATGTATGCTCTAGTGGTTATGTATGGTCTAGTGGTTATGTATGGCCTAGTGGTTATGTATGGTCTAGTGGTTATGTATGGTCTAGTGGTTATGTATGGTCTAGTGGTTATGTATGGTCCAGTGGTTATGTATGGCCAAGTGGTTATGTATGGTGTAGTGGTTATGTATGGCCAAATGGTTATGTATGGCCTAGTGGTTATGTATGGTCTAGTGGTTATGTATGGTCCAGTGGTTATGTATGGCCAAGTGGTTATGTATGGTGTAGTGGTTATGTATGGCCAAATGGTTATGTATGGCCTAGTGGTTATGTATGGTCTAGTGGTTATGTATGGTCTAGTGGTTATGTATGGTCTAGTGGTTATGTATGGTCTAGTGGTTAAGTATGACCTAGTGGTTATGTATGGTCTAGTGGTTATGTATGACCTAGTGGTTATGTATTGTCTAGTGGTTATGTATGGGCTAGTGGTTATGTATGGGCTAGTGGTTATGCATGGCCTAGTGGTTATGTATGGTCTAGTGGCTATGTATGGTCTAGTGGTTATGTATGACCTAGTGGTTATGTATGGTCTAGTGGTTATGTATGGTCTAGTGGTTATGTATGGTCTAGTGGTTATGTATGGCCTAGTGGTTATGGCCTAGTGGTTATGTATGGTCTAGTGGTTATGTATGGCCTAGTGGTTATGTATAGCCTAGTAGTTATGTATGGCCTAGTGGTTATGTATGGCCTAGTGGTTATGTATGGCCTTGTGGTTATGTATGGTCTAGTGGTTATGTATGGCCTAGTGGTTATGTATGGCATAGTCTTGGTGTGCAGACTACGTTATAGCTGCTATGCTAGATGATTTTAACAAAGAATTCTCCTTATTTACAACACAAATTTCATCATGGTGAGTATGCCATTGTTCTCTTACTCCAAGGGGAATGGTTGCACAACACTAATATACAAAATTTTCAACTCATTAATTATTCATTCATTTCATACTTGTGCAGACTCATACAGCCAGCAGATGTTGATTAAATATACATTATCACAATAGGGTCATTAATTATACATCAGGATTATATCAAGGAAGTCAAGGGCAATAAAATGACAATTCATGCTGAAATGTCTGGCCTTGACTACACCTACCTTCCTGCAGACGAGCAAAGATCTTTGCTCGTTTCTTTTCATATCCTTTCTGTGTTATGTCACCTTGAACAAAAATAGAAAACAAGGTCGTTATGCGCAAGCCACCTCACAGCATGGATCTCGTAAATTGCGAAACATGAACGAGGTCCGGCAAGCCAACAACAAACTATGTAAATACTTTCGTAAACTGCTGTTTGTCATGAGAAAGTCACAGATTCATGTCAAGTAATAAGCTTCTTAGTAGAAATTCCAACAGCACAACTAGTCGAATTACAGACATTTTAGGCATAGCATAGCTGAAATTCAATCGCTCGTGAAATTTTTCGGTAATTCCCACAGTAAATACAGTGCATACCCATTCGCAAGGTGAATTTGGGAATATGTAATCAAAAATTAGCTGTATTCTCTCACACAATCACAGTATTTTGATGAAATGCTTCAAGAAACGAAGTAATGCTTTGGTTTTTGAGCTGCAGGTCAAACTTAATCATACCTGAGATGACTCGGAACGCAATGAAAACGACAAGTCAAACAGGCACGTTAAATGTTGACAAGTGAGATTATTCCGCTGTGAAACGCGGAACTCCTCAAGCACTGGAACAAACAGAAAATCACACGATAGCCACATCACGTAAAATGACAATATGACAAATTTAAGTAGAAGCCAAAGATATTAGTGTCAGTGTGTGTTTGAGTGCAGAGAGAACACAGCCTTTAATCGCGTTTACCGTAGACGATGTTGAATAAGACTTTTAAAACACAAGCATATGTCGACGTCGAGCAATGTCAACAATCCATGCCAAGCAAGACACGCAACAGCGATATTTTCACAGAAAATTAAACTCTTTAAGTAAAACCGTCTGGACGATGGACGATGAAACGAGCTGTTTACCTTCTTCCAACTCGATGTCCAATGCTTTCAGTTCTTCTTCAAGACTTGGAGGATACGTGGAATAGTCTTTAGTTGCCATTGCCATACCGAAGCTCCCGTCAGTCGAGAATTCTTTGATATTTTAAGTACAAATTGAAGTGTAATATCGACTTGGCCAAGTCATTGTGTGTCATTGCTTTCTTTGTTAAAAATATTTAAAATTTTGAGCCTGCACAAAGGAAAATATTTTCCCAGCGGTAATTATGACATACGTCATGTTGCCTACGCAAACAACCGCCATCAAATTCTTCACAAATAAAAAGATCTTTATCTTTTTTATGGATGCATTGCATTGTATTCATTTACAAAAATTTCATTTATCATAAGGGATAGTTGGAAGCTATCACACATAACACAACGCTCTATGTTGTTCACGAGTACAAAGATCGAATGGAAATCAGTCTTTATAAACCACTATTCAGCAAACATTGATGGACCAAGCTGCTTGCCTCGACGGCCGAACCCCGAAAACATGCTCAATCCAGAGCCCCTCACGACCGCAATTGTGAACAATCTGAAAAAAAACAGTATTCAACAGAACATGATGCAATAAAGCCAAAATTACTGAATTCCATAAAAGGAATGTCGTTGTGCTAAAGCCAATATTTGACAATGAAAATTCGGAAGAAGAAAAAACGCAGGAGACAAAGAAATATGTCAGCGCAGTTAAAACCGGAATTGAGTCAAATAGCCGAACTCTAAAACATACAAAGATTTTCTTTGCTTCGCAAAACAATTTCGTGTTCCCTATCAAGAGTTTCTGAAATACATTACAAACAAAAAATGAAGAGCACTTTATAAGCATTGCTATAAAGATTAAACAAGCGGGTCAAAGCAGGACAAGCGTTCTTTAATTAATGATAATTGACAAATACCCAAAAGCTGTTTATAACTATACATTATTTGTTTATATATTACTATAATTTAACTGTTTACAGTTTGAAAAGGACTATCGGATATGGCAGGTTGACAAGGAAACGTTACTAGACAAATTTTTCTACGTGTAAACTTTGTTCAGTAACGGCTTCAGATTAACCTTTGAAACGCCCGAATCTCGCGTCGGCCTCAAGCCGACCAGTTCATTAACAATCTTAGCGTTCAACGACAAAAAAACAGTCACTAAAAGTGAAGATGAACCTTTCAAAATGGACACACACCTTTAATTGTTGGCTCGAAGTCGGAGCACTTGACAAGAATTGACAAGAAAGGAGAGTTTCTTGTGAACAGTTAAACCGTACTTGTTGCATTGAGCATTTCCTTCGACCCCATCGTCTATGAACGTCTATTCAAGAGAAAAGGACGAAGGAGGAAAAATATTAAATCCAAATTTCACAGCTTTGACAGCATGTCATTGTTTTAAACACCTTTGGTATATATAAGTGACTAGATCGGGGTCGATTTCCATTTTTCTTTGAATGTAGTAAAAATGCTTAATCCAAGGGGAATGCATTCAAGATCGATGAAAAAAGATCGCCGGCTAAAGCAATGTAAACGTTGACATAAACCATCGTAAAAATTTCAAAGTAAAAATGAGAAGCTGCACTTTTTTCTCTCGCAAAATCTCTCCCATTGCCGGCTGCAGTTTCTACTCTTGGCAAAGTTCGCTAGAACCCAGGCCGCTGCAGTTCACCACAACTAAATATTTTCACAAAGCATCTTTTAGACCAAATAAAAAAGACGGCCGAGGTCATTATCAGAAGTTTTACCATCATCGTACTTTGCGTTGTACGACCTCCAACCATGACACGGAACTATGAATCGATCGAAAAAGGTCAAAAAACTCACCGCATTGATGGACTTTCTTCTTCAGTTTTATCATGTTATTACTAGTTCTCAAGATAAAGCCATCGCTAGTAAGAAGACAAAATGTGAGATTCTCTCCCCTACTTAGAATTTGACAAAGCTCAGATAACTTCAGCAACCTGCTATGAGCATACATACAGTGTTTGTTTCAAAATATCTCAACTAAATAACTACTCACACGAAATCAGAGGCAAAGCCCAAATTATTGAAAATAATATATCTCTAGGGGCCTGATTATATGGAGGCGAGCCCGGATAGCGAACTAGCCCGATGATTTCAAGGGATTGAAAGGAGCCGAAAATTCAAGGTTGAAAATTAGAGCTGTTTGCGAAGCCCCACACGTCACTCTGGTTGTAATCCTCAAAATTTCGAGCGCAAAACTTACAATATTTTTTTAAGCGTCATAAGTCATTTTAGTTGTAATTTTTAAATCGGACTAAATTATTTGTTTTCATTTCAAAGGTTTTGTGAATTTGCAAAGTCAGAGCATTGAGAAATTTCTCAAATGAGTTTTTTGTTGTGAAGTATTTAATCTTTTCCATTTGCCAAAATGATTTAAAGCCTCGCTGAATCCCGGCTACCAGGCTCATGTGAACAGCCCCTAAGAGATGGTTCCTGTTAAAAAAAATATACACTATGTGAATGACTGCAAGGAAGGCTATTGTACATCAATTGCAGGTGACGATTTTTTGATGAACAAAGAATGGTCGTTTGGTGCAATTTTATATGAGAACGAAGCCAGGGTGATTAAAGCTAAGGTACAAAGGTGGATATCTTGGACATATCGTGATCAAGAAGAATGCAACCATCAATAGTGAAAGTTATGACACAACAGTGGATACCTAGGACATTGTGTGATCAAAGAGGACTTAACTAATAGCAGTCAAAGCTAAGACACAACAGTGGATACCTAGGACATCGTGTGATCAAAGAGGACTGAACTAGTAACAGTCAAAGCTAAGACACGACAGTGGATACCTAGGACATCGTGTGATCAAAGAGGACTTAACTAGTAACAGTCAAAGCTAAGACACAACAGTGGATACCTAGGACATCGTGTGATCAAAGACATAACTACTTACAGTTAAAGTACAATGGTGGATACCTCTGACATCATGTGATTAAAAAGGATATAACCAGTAACAATGCATACGACTGTTCGCATTATTGCCTGCAACGATAAGTTTATGAAAATATATAGCTTCGTCACTTTTCGTCGAAATGAACTCTATTTGAAGTTAAAAAACGTTGCAACTACACAATTGATAATGACAATTAGTCAGAAGTCGTTTTATAACCCACTAATATCGATACGCGCTCCACTTTTAGTGACATAAGCTAGCGAGCACATGGTTAAGGAACACAAACATCGCATGCAACACTCAGCAAATAGATTAACTTTTCATTCTACCAAATATCGTCTTAGTTCGCCGTGAATTTTTCCTCTAAATAGATTTTTCACGCAAGTTCGCATGATGATTGTCGGATTGAATTATGAAATAAGGAAATGACTAGAAGCAAATGAAAACAAGGGCAATTATATTACGATAGCAAAATCTACATGCAGTAAATCACTGCTTTCCGCTAAACAATTGGCTGAGCTCCTCATTCAACTCGATATTTGCCAGCAACTCTCTTTGGTTTGTCTTCGTTCTTCGTCCACAAGCCCAGCACAAGTGTCCAGTTTTCCAGCACCATCGTCGCTTGTATTGTCTGGTGAAAATTCCTCTTCTACCAAAGTGATATGTAATGATGGATCCGAGTCTTGTAAACGTATTGCAGTACATATAGCCATGACGCCAGCACCTATGGTGGCGAAATGTCTTCTTCGTTCGTGCGTCATTATGGTAAAAGTATGGAAGCATTACAGCCTCGAGAATCAGCACTCCCCCCCCCCGGCTTTGACGTTACTCCTGCGCGACAGGTAATTTGAACTGTAACGAATCCGAGAAAACTCGGTGCCGTGGAATTTAATTAGATTACTGGCTGCGGTAAGCTATTTCATCGTTCCTATGGTCAAAAAAATACAATTGATGGACTGCCATTATGGTGAGCAAATAAGTAGTAATTTAGATAAAATTTCAACAGATTGGACGTTCTTCGCCTTTCTTGTCCTGTGTCCATGGTTAGGCAAAGTATATCATTGTTGGCTGCTTATTATAAATTTAAATAACTTTATAATAATGGCATTGGTTGCAAACTTCTAAACAGCAAAATAATGAAACAGGCACTTTGTCGTGATGATCAATGATTTAGAACCCAATCCCGAAGAGGTTTATTTAAAATAAGCAAGTCAACGTGAGGCGAGGAGATAATCTTGAAAGGTGGCAAAAGCAAAACCCACAATCAAAAAAATCATCTAAAAGAATGCTTAAAAAACCACTCTTATCCAATCCTCAAAGATTTTTAATAAAATTAGCAAGTCAACATAAGGCAAAGACATCCTCTTGAAAGGTGGCAAAAACCAAAACTCACAATCAAAAAATCATCTAAAAGAATGCCTAAAAAACCACTCCTATCCAATCTCCAAAGATGTTTGATAAAATTAGCAAGTCAACGTGAGGCAAAGACATCATCTTGACAGGTGGCAAAAAGAAAAACTCACAATTAAAAATAATCTAAAAGAAAGCTTAACAAAGTAATCCTATCAAGCATTGAAAAAACCAAACCTATAGTCTATAAACTGTGCAACTCTATATCCATGCAGAAGAAGCAGAATTTAGATGAATATCGTCAGCTTTATCGCCTTAATTAAAAACTCTGTAGGGTAGATAAACTACTGGTCTTCCATGCAGAATTATATAAAATACAGAATTCAACAAACATAGAATTTGCAACTTTTATTATTTTGTCAAGTAATAATTCATGAATTTTAACTAGTGAGGAATTTCTGTGGAGTTCAGTTCTGGATCATTGGTCATGACAAATCTAATCAACACTAACCCACGAAAACAGGTCTTTTCTGAACTCTTGGGTCCTTTTTTGGCCATTCAGCTGCGCTTTTCAAGGCGAACCAATTAAATCTTGACCATCAATGGATCCACACCTCCACACCAAGCAAATTGGTTTATCCCCCCCCCCTCCCTTTGCTCTTTGTTTGTCACCTTTTATGTATTTGTTTCATGTTGAATCATTTCCTCACGTAATAGTTAGGATGCTTTATATGTGGGTATAAGCCTGTGACTGTGATGTGACTTTTAATCCAATTAATGCAGTCACTCCTGGTGTGTCGGAGACACCAGGATTACGTCATTCATCAAAACACATGACCTTAATTGTGACTGGAGAAGTAGCCACCAAAATTGGCAGTGATTCAAAAAAACACTGCGAGCGTTTTTTTTCCTAAAAAACATGTTTGTGAATACTTTTAAAAAGCGTTTCTACGCATGTTTCTTACATCGTTCTGATGGTCTTCCGTGCCGCAAAAGAAAATTGCACTGTTTGAAATTAAAAACAAACACGAATTTATGACAGGTATTTCTTAATCACGGAGTAATTGAAAATTTAAAATCTCGTAAGTAGGAGTGACCGTAATTGCTGAAAATACCATGCAGTTGTGTGAAACACACCCTTCTGTGCAGCCAAAGCTATCGACGTTTTATCAAATCACGGGAAGAGAAAAGTATAAAATTGAACTTTATGAGCAAGGATAATTCCTAATTCGCTGAGTTAAAATTACCCTAAATTACATAGAGAACAAAAATAAAGAACAAAAACGAAACCACTTCGCTTCATAGAAACAGAAGTCTTGAAAAAGACATCTCAATCAAAACTTGAAAATATTTCAACGCCATGAAAACATTGCGGAGTGAACATCATACATGAGAGACGAATAGAAATCGATTAATTATCAAATATTCCAAGACTGTTCAAAGTGTGAACGTTCGTTTCAAAGCAATATTGACCGCGGATTCCAGGAGTTTCTTTGCAAAATAAACAATCTGTTTCAGTAATGCGAAAATGCAGTCGTTAGCGATTTAAGGATATGGGTTTCTGCCTAGTTTGACGCGGTCGCCATTTGAGCCTTTGAATCGCCTTCACCTAGACATGAAAACTATCAAAGTCATATGACGATCTGTCGAAACTTAAGAGCTCAGTTTGCACCGGCCTACGCTCCTCAAAATAAAATTAGAAATAAGCCACGACATTTGAAGACCGCAAGAAGTTCACACTTGCTTTACATTATTAATTGCTAAAAATTACGTGTCCACATTAGCCGTCGACGTACATACTCAAAAGTATTCTACGACAAAAAGCAAAGCTTTCGTTGTCACGTCTCGGGATGAACTGTCTCGTGTCAAATCTTCAGCGTAAGAAACTCTGCGAAAGTGCACGTATTTATATGTAAATATTTCACAACCTTACCCATCGTATTTCATTTTTTCAATACTCGCTCACACAAAAACACAAATTCAGTTCGTAAATTTATATCGACATAAATGATACATGTTAACATCGTCCTAGGAAAATCAACATTGAACAATTTACACATGGCGTGCAATTTTATCTACATTGTATCTTCGTGGCGTATCGAAGAGTTTATATTTCCAAATAATTCTAAAACATGTTGGGCAGTGTTGGGCATATAAGTACGGCGGACACATCGAAGGTACACGCGGTCTACGACCAACAATAGTTCATTTACTTCATTTACATATATTGCGCGCGACCCCTTTGTACTTTTTATGATACAATCTGATATGGTTGTCGTGTCAGAAAATGTGGTTCCCCCCAATAAGTTATGAAAATTAAGAATGCATGTTCCCGGAATGCAACAATGAATACGTTTGACGCGGTCGCACGGCGATACACCAGCAGGACTAAACTAGAAAAGTCTTTTTCATACGACGACAGTGGATTTTGTCCATAGGTCGATAGTCGAAATGATTTACAATCTATTTCCCATCACGTCTCTGGTCTTGAAAGGCTAAGAAAGTACACTCAAGCAACAGAACCCCGTTTGAAATGAAGTCGAAGCGCTAAAAAGCATTAACAGCCAATCGTCCCCCTTTTTTTAAATATCCAACTTTACGTCAAAGACCGACAAGGGAGGACGAAGTCAAAGAGCTCAACATGTTTGCATCGGTAGGAAGACATTGAGTAAGATCGGCGACATTTTGTGTCAGCATCGCGTCGTGTTGCGAATTAGATACGCTTAGCATTTCGTGATTCTCCAACTTTATAATCGGCTGGCTCGGGTGCAATGAAGCAGGTAGACAAGAGAAGTCGACATGAGTGAGCGAGTGTTTTAGGCCATTCATGGCGCTATTTTGACGAGCAATAAGACCAAGTTTCGGCGACGAACCATCGTTCATCGTGTTGTTATTTGTGTCTCTGGAGAAAAAATTACGATATACAATCAGTTCTTGTAGTTTGAGTATAAACAAACCAACACGCCAATCTATTGCTCGCTAAATGTCCAGAAACTATTACTGGGGATGTGAACATACAGAAGGGATGACCATCTTCACTACACGTTCGTTGCAATGAAAAGAAATTCAGAGTCGATAAAACTAGTAATAATCTCAACAAATGCCATTGTAAACCGTCATTACACAAAATTCACAGCAAACTTTGCCTGCAGGCATAAACCGTATCAAGCTTACGACCACTGCGTACAAGCCACCTGCAATTTTGTTTATAAACTACGCTATATTCGAGCGATTTACATGCTAAATAACAAGAACGGGTTGTGCGTTCAATGTTCGGCGGGTCAATGTGCCGTGCGCGACAACAATGACGTGCTTTAGCCGTGGTAAAGTCTTTATCTTGGCACCACTCTTGATTGCAGGGTAAATTTCGATCTCAAGACAGATACTATTACCACATAACGTGCCTTGACATGAGGCAAAATCAGGTTTCTTCGCATTGCAATAGAATCCGTGTGAAAACAAATAGTTTTAATACGGCGTATTAAATGTTGCGTGATCATCGAGCGCCTTCAGTTTCATTGCATCGTCGCTTTGCGAAACGTACACAAACAATGGGTCGATGAAAAGACGCAATATCAACATAATGAGCGCAAATAAAGCGTTCGAAATGAGTTTGGAAAAATTGGGAAGCAATCATGAGCTTAAACGGCAATCGGATAATGTAATTACGGTTATTTTTATGTCCGTTCGACAATTGCTTCCTTTGCAAGACAATTACGAAGAGAATGGGTGAGTTTTGGTGTTTTAAATCCATGAGAATACCGCGATATCATACATAAAGACAGCTGATTATTTTAGGTAGAAAAATAACACCTAGGGATTGTATATTGGGACAGAACGTCATAAACAAACACGACTTCTCGGCACGCCATTGTAAAGCAACATGTAAACACCCAAAAAAATTATAATTTTCGGTTTGTTCCGATTACAGTTTGAATATTGGTGTTTTGAAAATAATACCAGTATTTTCCCTTACGATCAAACAGGTCGCTAAACGAAGCTGAAAGCACCGATGAACACGTTCATATGAATGTACAATCTAATACAGGTTATTGTAGAGATTAACTGCCAGGATATTGTGAGTATTTTATGTATATAAATGTATAATAACGAACCTGTTCTTTGCCTCGGCTGCTCTATCTCGTTGTCGTCTATTCTTAAACCAGTTACTCACTTGTGTCGTTGTTAGTCCTGTAGCCTCGGCTAGCTCGCGTTTCTCTCGAGGTGAAGGATATGGATTGTGATTATACCAATCGCGCAGTATATTTCTCGAACGTTCCTTAAAACAGTAACTAGTTTCCTCCCCATCCCAAATAGTCCTTGGCAATGGAAATTTTCGTCTTACTCTGTACTTTCCGACAGCTCCCAAAGGCCTTCCTCTCAATTTCTCGGCCTCGATATAGTGCGCCTTCATCCAAAGTGACTGCAGCTTATTGTGCGACGACACGGGAAAATTGTTGCTCTCCAGAATGCGGTAGAGCTCCTGGTAATTACCTTGATGGAAGAAAACCGCGGCCTTTGCTTTTAGAACGCTCACTTCTTTTTGGATGCTTCCGTGTTCCGGCAACGACCAAAGAAATCTCGCCAGTCTTTCCATGTCGTTGCTGTGTTGTAGCACCTCACAAACGCAAGCTACCTGATCTGGAGTGAAGTTATATGTCGGATGCATATTCATGAGAAGTCTCTCGAGATATTTTTTCGATTTGGGCACTCAACCCGTTTTCGTGTCATGGAAAATTTCCCCTCGAAACTGTTTTCTTTCACAACGCGCCTCGGCTGCGCGACGGATTTGCAATTCAGTGCGCGCTTTATGCTAATTTCATTTGCTCTCGCGAAATATGCCCACCTATGGCGAGGTGGATCGCAGCAGCTAGGACGGGCACTTCACGTTGGCGCTTATTAAAAACTATAGCTATTATGTCAATCAACTGTGCGTTACGACTGGGTCTCATGTAACACGTTGAAATTCTTAGACAAAACGTTTATCGTTAGAGTAATACAATATGTTTTTGCTAACCTCGTCTATCGCAGGAATCGATCCATCACAATTTGCCATTAGCCATTTTTTCACAATTTCGCGACCAGGGCAAGTGCACACCTGTTTCCTGGTTGCTAAAGAGGGAACTACTCTGAGACCACGTGATTTATTTCACCCCGGCAGACAATGACTGTTCGAAGAAGACAAATGCAGTGCTCGCAATTGAACCGATTTTCTTTTTCAATACCACATAGCAGTAAAATCTCAACCCCAGCAGTGGTCGGCAAACTGTTTCTCTTTCGGAATACGCGATACCGCAAAGACTTGCTTATCAGTCGCGCTTGAAAACTGTCTGTTATTTCAACACTAAATGCACTCGCCGAGTATTTACTAAGGAAAGCATTCTCTTACATGCCACTTTATTCGAACACAGAAAACCATCAGTACATAGTAGAGTATAAAATAGGCATGAAGTACGTTATTAGTACTAAAATTATTGACTTATAAGTAATATCATACTTTTCAACCTGGTTGCCTTATGGGAGTCGGTCAATCTAGACGAATTCGCTAACTTAACATTTATGCTCTTGGGTGCAGAAAGCGCAAATTACTTTCCTTATATCGTGCAGAGAAAAACGTGACCAATTAAATAACATTAAAAACAGAGAGAATATGCATCGGAGGTGCGTCCATATGTTGTTGGTAATCTCTTTTCATTAAAATAATTCCTTTTTTCAATTAATTTTTGATCGTGACGAGTTCAATGTGCGTAATATATTATGAAGAAAGGAAGAAGTTATTGGCCGAAGCAACTCGGGGCTCTGTAAAAGTAAACAAAGCTGCCTAAAAACGTTTCCAACATCCACGTTGGCTCGCATTTGATCGTATAAGATGTCAACGACGTAAAAGGTCGAAGTTCTGGCGATAAAGATTTTTGTCCTTTGTCAAAACCATCAGGAAATAAGAGGAAGGATTGCAACGTTATTTTTGACAGGGAATCGTTCTTTGAAAAGAGGTTTGTCGCGTACGAAGGTTAATTTCACGTAAAATGAAAAACACATTCGTTGTTGCGAAGGATTACGAGAGCATTGCATCAAATGACACGCGATTTTTGAACATTTCAAAACATTCGCAGCGGTGTTCCATCTCGGTTTCAAACGACCTTAGCTTTAAACGCTACATTTCTGTCAGAGAAAGAACAACAAAAGTGGACTGATGGACAGGATGAGACTTAAATCATATAAAATTACATCAAAACACGCATGATAACCACCCAAAATATATAAACAGGAATATCGTTCAAAGCCCGGAGCATTTCTTGCCTTCAACATCGACGACGTGCAAGTCAAAATGAAAGATAGAAATTCCAAAAGTCCGAACGTAATGAAGCGTCAATTTCACGGGATTTCTACCACGAAAGTTTTTCACTACTATTCTTAGCACTATATGTAATGCATGACGTAATGTAATGCACATACCACGTTGGTGGCCCTGTGAACTTGAAGACATACCAAACATTGTCAATGACAAAGATACGTGCACATAAACAGTGGCAGTGTTGCGCTAGAAGGGGGGAAGGGGGCATTCATCGCGACTTTTTGCCTCTCCCTACCCCACCCCCTACCCCACCCTACTCCACTCCTGCATCTGCAATGCTTGAGGCTGTATTTGCTTATCATGCATGTGAAAAGCATCATTACGCATAGGATCAAATAATTTTTGTGGTAAATTGATCACATTATAAATGTACACGGACAGATGATAAATCATCACGTATAAAAACGGTCTTCGTGTAGATGGCAACGAAAAACAACGAGAAAATGTTTAAAGGAAAACGTTCACAACGCAACGCGGTTACGTTCCAGTCTTGAGCACGACATGACTCCCATGCAAAGAACACGCCATTAGGGGCCGTGGAGAAGGGAGGCAAGGAGACAATTTCCCCTCCCCCCGACTTTTTTTTATATTTCTTGCTTTGTTAAGTGTAAAAGTACAAAAATCCTCTTTGACAAATACCTACATTTGATAAGTATGGATTTTTAACGGTATTTCATGTCTAATGTTCGTTCCACTTTCATTTTTTAGATTGATCAATAATAACGTTACAAACGAAATCGAACAAGTTTAGTATATTGAATGATTAATGAGAAAACTGTTAAAAATAAATTTGCTATACTGGGAACAACCCGATCACGGGACCTTATTTTGCCCCCACCCCCCTTCCACTTTTCAAACCTCTCCGCTCCCCCTGGCCATTAGGAAAAGAACAAGAACAAGTGACAGCGAATTAATAAAACACGTATAGAAGACATGAAAACAGGCTCAAAGAAACCATAAATTGAAATTATCCGTTTGAACCGAAATGGCAATTGAAGTGGAAGCCAATGAAATGAAGATAAAATATTATGTAAAGGTGAAAGTTCTTTGTAAGAATGCAGAAGACGAGAGAGAGGAAAGAGAAACAAAGTCGTTAAGATCAAGGAATATTTAAAAGTCGGTTGGTTAGTCAGTCGGTGATAATGCAAAGCTCAACTTTACTAAGCAAAGCCTTCAGCATGGTCGAAAAAAGGAGATCTTGTAAAATCAAACTTAAGTTAAAAACAAGGCAATCAAACTGTAATATTTCGGTTTAATTGGCTTTTTTGTAACTTAAATTCGAGTTTACAAGAAGATGCTCTTTTTTGGATTATGTTTCATTTTATATCTCATGAAATTGTCCTCTTGTGCGAGAGCGAAAGCCTTCTGTAGTGACGTGGAGAAAGAAGAGCGCAAGACTGGTACCAAATCCTCAATAAATACATCGCTGACCTTAGTAATCAATTTTGTCCGTGCTGAGCAAACCTTCATAGTGACCAAGAAAAAACAGAATGCGAAGATTTACCACCTGTCTTAATTAAAAAACAAGTCATTGAAATGTCCAATAGCGACGTAGAGAATGGAGTTTATTTAGGAATGTGGGAGGTGTTAAACGCCTTTCTAATTCACAAGCAAATCGGAAACAATACAAAGTTCGTCTGAACACGTCATGCTTTTTGCCAAATTTCTGACATCAGATTTTGCTGATCAAAGACCACGATACCAAAGAGAAACCATGATACCAAGGTATCAAAGATAAACTAAGGGAAACATACAGCATTTGATAGGTTAACAAGACACATTGTTCTTACGGAGTCTCAACAAACTTCATTCAACAGCACCGTCCATCAACTGCTTACAGATCGACGAACCAAAAGAATTGCTCAAATTGGTGATTTCTTAAATGGGTAGAAGTTTAAGCTTGCAATAAAATTTCAACATTCTGTTTCCATAAGTAATCATGTCTCTATTCTATCATGATAGTTGAAATTCATTCCAATATCCGCTTACCAAAGGAAGAGCTAAGCTATGAGAATTAGAAGAACATGGACAAGTTAGCAAGTTGTGGGTCCAAAGCGAAATATCAACGTTGTAAAATGGTGTTAGCACCGTCGAAAGGCTCCTTCGAAAGCAAAATTTCTAGTGTGAAGTGAATTAAAGTCAAAGAAGTGTCAGTGACTGACATGTTACAACTATCCTTCGAAAGCAAAATTTCTAGTGTGAAGTGAATTGAAGTCAAAGAAGTGTCAGTGACAGACATGTTACAACTATCCTTCGAAAGCAAAATTTCTAGTGTGAAGTGAATTGAAGTCAAAGAAGTGTCAGTGACAGACATGTTACAACTATCCTTCGAAAGCAAAATTTCTAGTGTGAAGTGAATTGAAGTCAAAGAAGTGTCAGTGACTGACATGTTACAACTATCCTTCGAAAGCAAAATTTCTAGTGTGAAGTGAATTGAAGTCAAAGAAGTGTCAGTGACAGACATGTTAAAACTATCCTACGGAGCAAAAATCCGAAGAATTAACTCTGGGACAGTGTCCGCTTTGATTTTTGATGGAAGGCATGGCTAGACGAAGCCCTCATCAAATACTATATGAACGTTGAAAAAGTTTTTCACATTTCATTTCACTGTTTCCGTTGATTAACTTTAGACATTCCTGTGTAACCGTTCGCAATACCGCTTGTTTAACTTTCCTTGAAAAAAGTCCTTTCCTGTCTGCAATTAAGTAGGCGTCAATAGAAAAGGTCCATGATGCGTTTGTTATGCATGCACGATGTAAAATTCTATTTTATGTTTCAAACGACCGCTGGAAATAATACCGCTGTGTCAAGAAATTTGATCGCTGTGATTCATACACCACAAAGGGAAGAAAAACAAAACGTACAACACAATGAAGTATTCGGAGCTTAAAACATGCATTTTACCACATGAAACAATAATAAACCGAACTTGGATATTTTTAGCAACTTGTGGGAGGGGTAATTGATGTCTGTCAACAGAAATAACGCTCGCGTTTCAATGTATTTCTGGCGCAGACGTTTTTCATTCGAGATTATGAAGTATTAAAATAGTTCATCATGGCGGCAGGTAGCCTATTTAGGCCCATCACCGAATGATTAAAAATGATTCACAGTAAAGATAAAGCGAGTAAAAATGTGTCTCTGAACTAAGTAATCTTCACAAATGTATACAAACTTCAATACGGAAGGGAATTTTCATCATCAGTAGCGTATTTCATCACTCAGCGAATGATCGGACCAGATTCACAAAAAGTTAAGTGAGTATAAAAAGTGTCTCTGAGCTGAGTAATCTTCACAAATGTATACAATCTTCAATACGGAAGGGAATTTATAGGTTTCGTTTTTAAATACTCTTTTGAGACAGAATTCCACATTTCGTTCAATAAATGTCAACTAAACTCGTGGAAAATGGATCGGACGAGTATAGTAATTATAGAAAAGGTACTCTTTAGACATCTAACGTGTTATGTATGGTGTTTTTGTTACTGTATAATTCTTAATAGTTTGTGAACAAGTAAAATACATATTGATGACACAAGTGAAGAAATTTTCATAAACTCCATCACAATATATAATTTACAATTGGAATAAAGCAAAGTTGAAATTCCGTGAAGTACATTTTTTTGCATGCAACATTCCCATTCAAACGTCCAACTTTTCATGCGCCGAATGCATAAACGAACAAAAGACAATATGGGAAATACGTTCGCTGTCTTTTGTCATGAATACATGAGGCGTATGGAACGTTAGAAGTTTGATACGCATACATGATACACGACTCGAATGAACGCCATGTACAAGTGGCAAGAATTTTCTCTTTTTTAAAATAAATCGAAACGCTGGCTAATAACTTTGATGTAGCTTCTTCATGCAAATGATCGTGTTTTCCATTCTTGGCTTTTGAGATGTTCTTATAAGAAGTCACGCGATATAGTTTCCAGTGTTTTAGCTATCGACCTTGAAAATAATATTGCCTGTCACTTGCGCTCCGAGTCAAAAGGTGTTCGATTTGCCTTCAGGGGAATACATGCATATTATTATAAAGAATTTAACACCTTCGATAATACAGGAGACACAGTGTTGACTAAATATCTTGGCGTCTTGTTGTGAAGAAGCGTCTTAAAACATAGACTTGAGAAATGCTCACGACCAAAATCACAAATGCCTGACCAAGAGACCACCATTGAACGCGAGAGTTAAGTGTTTCTGCAGCCATGCGGCCATTGGCCTCGCGAATTCTGTGATGATTCTGGTATTGTTCCACAACGGCTAGCGCTTCGTGGATAGAGTAAGCTCTCGCCTCCATATGCGTGAGGGCAGTTTGTGTGGAAGATCCGGGGAAGTTTCCCTCTCCTTCGTTGCCTTTGACAAAATCAAAGTATACGAGATTTGTGTGAAAGACGCTGTCGTACACGTTACTGAAACAAAAGCGATAAGCGCCTCTATCTGCGGCAACGAAACGAAACAAGTCGTAATCCTTTCTTTCTTCTCTGTAAATCAACCGTCCGCGAGGGGACTCGATGAATGCGTCCACTTGCGGATTGGCACCAGTGATGGGAGCGTATTCTAATGAACAAGACACGTTTGCGTCGATGTTGTCATAAAAACATTCGTATCCCGATAACTGAACCTGTAAATGGCGACCGTACACGGAACAGCAAAAGAAAGCGACGAAGATCGTCGAGTCTAACGGTTTCAACACCATTTCCAATCTCACGATATCAAAAACAACATTAATGAAATACTATTTCGAAGAGCAACAGCGGACAGAGCTATAAGACAAATATCTCACGAATAAACGCGACAGGTTTACATATACGAAATAACCGATTTATTAACGATTGTTTGAAATGGAGGATGGCACCAGTAGAGTAGTCTATAGTAGATAGACACGTGGCGTTTAATCTATTGTATACATATTGGACAAGAACAGGTGTATGTTTTACATATTCATTTGCGTTCGCTATCGTATTGTTCAGAGATGGAAAATAAAACATGTAGAATTTTATCGTACAAGATGAAACATCCTCGTTAAAAAACAACATCTTGTTAACTCAACACTCGAGTTATATAAGCATTATGAGAGACAAGGCTTGAAAGCGATATTTGCATTTTATTTCAAAGTCATAAAGTAAATGGTTTGAACCCGGGAGTATCGTTACATGTTTGTAAATATCGATCGTCCAGGCTGGTATAGTCCTGAGAAGGACTGTTTTTGTTGTTGTTGACTGACGTTTCGACAACCTTAGCGGTAGTCATCTTCAGAGTGAAATGAGGAGTAAACGTCGGGTTAGCCGTATTTGTTATCTGGTTACCAAGAGAAATAGTGGAAATATTAATTTTAAATCTTATCTCTGACCAATTGAAATAATCGACTTTACAAGATGATTATTTTGGAGCATGTTGTATCTTATATTTCTTCAAATTATCGGCTTCGTGAAAATGTTATACTATTGTGCATGTATAAGATTCAAAAATTCTCCATCGTGATGATAGGGATGTTTCACATTGTAAACTGACGTATGACATCATATCGGTCGGAATCACATAGTGGAAATATTAATTTTAAATCTTACTCTGACCAATAGAACTCGAATCTCGACTTTACAAGATGATTACTTTGGAGCATGTTTTATCTTATATTTCTTCAAATTATCGGCTTCGTGAAAATGTTATACTATTGTGCATGTATAAGATTCAAAATTCTCCATCGTGATGATGGGGATGTTTCACATTGTAAACTGACGTATGACATCATATCGGTCGCAGAGTATTACATATCGCATCTAAAATCTTGCCATTTGATTAGCATTGAATGTTACTTTTATACCTACGATAAGGTTTAGAGGCGCGCAGAGGAGCTTATGCAATCTTTCTACTTCAATCATATTGCCAGCACAGCTTCAATAAAATGAGTTGTGAAAACTGTCTTCATTCCACGTAATCGAATTTCTATTTTGAATCTAAGGAAACAAAGCCGGGAAGGGGCAGCGATTTTATAATGGATGAATTTTTTAATGAGAGAATCGTTCTCGTCTGAACATACCGATCATAAACGCTGGAACCTTCATGTTAAACGAGTACAGTATAGTTTGTAGAGATAAATATTTTTATAACTCAAATAATTTATGACTTGTTTACTTAACGTCTTGTTTAAACACAAGATGCATGGTACAATGTTCTTCGAGACGAAATCAAATACATGTATAATAGAACACTATTTGCAAAATGAAGTGTATATATACATTGTGTACAAAGTGTATTACAATGTGCCCTCCCGGCATACATTGTGTATGTATCTTTGCCACATCTATCAATGAACGTGCATTTGAATTTCAAAATCGACATAAAATAACGCGATTTCCCTAATTTTTCCTATATTCTTCACTTAAACTACACAGTGCGGACGTGGTTTTTATAAAACGTTTGTGAATTTCCCAACGTCAAGATTCTAGACGTGTCTTCTTGACGTTATTGGAACCACATGTTCTGTGAATTTAACCGTTCATCCTTCAACTCTCCGACAAAAGCACAGATAAGGATCTAGATTGCATTACTTCAATACATCGATCAATGTTTCTCATCTAAACTAGACCGGATCAAAGATCCCAAATGTTTTCATAACCCGAGAACCTATTTGCTTTTAACTATATGACCACGTGCACAAGGAGTTCTTGGGTGTTCCAAAAGCACTGGAGGTATAATCGTTGGATACTTTGCAAATGTAAATAGAGATATACCATTACTATACAGACAGCTGTACAAGACTCAATTTTGTCAAAGATATAGTTGACGTTTCAACTTCTCAAGTAAACAGTGAATGTATATAATCTTCAGGGAATCCGTGTATTGTTTGTATTGTTTGCTGTTCCTGTTGTGAACATAATTCATGAGGAAATTTTTACTTTATTCTCCGTTTAAATTATGTCCAACAAGAAAATCACATTAACGCGCGTCAATTTAGCAATCACAAAAAAGGAACGGCGTTTAAAAAATTTGCTTTTTTATTTCGAACGTGAAGTTGAGACTTTCACACATTTTCATACCCCTACATCATATTCCACGCCTCATTGGGTCCCGGCAAAGCGGAACCGTAAAAATAAACCCCATTCCTAAAGCCAAAGCATCGCCATCATCATAAGCACAAAAAATTCATCAGTAAAATAAACGATTTGCGTGTCTTAATGCATGCCTCTGCTTGCGTTTATTAGGGCTGATCACGAGTCAGTCAAACGTTCATTAGGCATCTGTTTTTTTCATCACCACTTACTCATGAGAAAATGAACTCACTAGGAAGGCAAGCATCTTTCATAGCACATTATTTGGTATTAAAAGCGCCATGCGGCTTTTTAATTGCCATCCCAGAAAAGCGCATGTGTACATTCCTTTTGAAGCCGTGAACATCCAAGAGCGCATCGAGTTAACCTGCAACTATGACGAAGTTATGGCATTGGATTATACGATTGAATGTGCGTGAAAAATATATCGCGGGCGATAAGAGTGCGTGTTTTTTTGGCCATCTTATTATTCCTATATGGGCAATATCAATCAAGACAGGCTTTTAACAAGATCTTTATTCAATTAAATCAAATTTTCATGTGAAATAATTGTCACCTCAAGTTCATTTAGAATTCACGAGCGTCAAATTACGGTGAAATTTCCTTCTAATTCAATTTCAATTCGTCTGCAAGACGTCAAACAATCGAATCATAATGGCACAAAAACGCCGCGATTTGCATTAAGTGCGCGCAAAGTATGCAGTGAACTACAGAGCGCAATTTGAAATCTCCACGCATAAATCACGCAACGCGATTAATTTTACGTAGGCATAAGCTGGATACTTGGAAGCAGACAGGTGCTTATAGTTGACGCACGGAACAAATGCCAGGTTTTCTGAATTGGAAATAAATAGCGACTTGACCAAAAACACGATCAGCACAGTGCGCGTAACACGAGTCGTGACTGAGATGGCCATCAAACAGGATCAAGTAAATGTATGCAGAAATTGAACACTTTATTGGACCAAAAATCTCATAGTACCTGGAGACTATTCAGTTCTGGATCAGTTCGCTCTCGATCAACAGTACGGGAAACTGAAGGAAACGCTTTGATCGACATGGATTCAAAACTAGGTAAGAGTTGCTCTAACATACATTTCAGTCTACTTGCAGTGATCTTCCGTCTTTCGTGAGAACTTTGCGATGCAAACGTGACCAAATTACAACAATACCCAAATGCAGCCATTACGGACGTGCGCTAGAAACACAAGCAGTTTGATCATCTTAAACAAACACTTTTAGTGTTAACATCGTCGATCAACAAATACACGCACATTTATATAAATATTTCCGAGTTCTATTTGTCTCATACGTTGTTCTGCCCGTGATTAAGGGATCCGTTCAAACGCGCACGCCAGTTGTGGAGTTAAAGAAAAACAAGCGAAACCACTTTGCGCTGGTTGTAACAAAGTTATCGATGACCGTTACCTTCTGAAGGCCATAGACAGGGTTTGGCATGAAGACTGCTTGAAATGCGCGTGCTGTGACTGTCGCTTAGGAGAAATCGGTGCTACTTTGTACACAAGGGCCAACCTCATCCTTTGCAAGCGCGATTATCTCAGGTAAATAAAATGTAAATGATCGATCATCATTTTTACGTTGTACTGTACAGCACAGTTTGTTTGTTCTTTGTGTAATATTGGTTGCGGATTAAGCTTGCCTGTGCATATATATATCATGTTGATACGGTCATTATCTTGGTCAGATACACAAGTCTTGTAAAACAACTCATTAAAACTAACGCTATCGCGATCAGAAACGATTTCGCAAGTTGATAGAGATGTCGTACGCGCTAACACGGAAGCCATGGCGATTTTGAACGCACGACGCATGAAATTGATCGAAATAATGCACAAGTGGATTCTGATTGCATTTAAAGACAGTTTGAGAAAAATATATCATTGCTTGCGAGAACGTGGGATATACAGAGTTCGATAATTCGATAAGCCATTCCTTTGCTTAGTACTAGGAAATTCAGCGTGAAGCTTTTGTCATGAGTTGCTCTGACGTTGTAAGAAGAGGCCAAATTAGAAGCTGATGCACTCTCGTAACATATATGGACTGTAGCTACATTGAAAATCAAATATATTAACATGATAGCGATCGTATTTTGGCGTTTCAATTGGCCTTTTTTGCCGCGATCCGTCAACACGTGCAAGTAAAAATTCGCGCTAATTACAAACAGATGAAAGCTTTGGCTATTAGCAGCATCTCAAGAAGACAGACCGTTTTTCACAATTTTTATTTCACGTCATAGCCTGAATGCTTCAACCGGTTATAAATAACGTTGTAGAGAATATGTGTCAAAGTGTGAGGAAATATTTTGCAAATGATTTTTTTTACAACGAAACGGAATTCGAATGAAATTCTATGCTTGCTTTCTTCATGACAGGTAAAATTAGCCCAGGCATAGCCAGATCGTGGGACATATGCAGAACAGGGGGTTAAGAAAAAACTTCTTTAAAATATCGAATTCGTGATTTATTAAATTACAAACTCTAGACTTTCTACTGTTGAAATATCTACATTAAGCTTTCAATCGTCCTTCTTGGAAATGGACAGCCTCAAAGTATTAACGTTTGATTAAATCTTCAGCTTACAAATGAATGTCTTGATGAAAAAAATTCTAAATATGAAAAGCTGCAAATCCTTCTGCGATAAAATAGAGAGGCTACTTAAACAAAGCGGACGTGTAGACATGAGAACAAGATCTCCCTTAAAATACAACACACCAAACACGCTATCACTGCCAAAACCCACACTTTTGTTGTCTATCCGACACCCCCGGTAGGGGGTGCGTGCTTTTGTTGTCCATTCGACACCCCCCGTTAAGGGGTGTGTGATAATTAAGGATTGTAATCGCCCCTCCCAACGATTTCAAACAAGTTTAACAGCTTTGACTTAGAACGATAAGAATCTAACGGCTTTCCTTTCATAGGTTGTTTGGACGTACGGGGTTTTGTCCGGCATGCGAGAAGACGATCCCGGCATTCGAGATGGTGATGCGCGCGCAGGATTTGGTCTATCATCTCGAGTGCTTTGCGTGCTTTCGATGTCATCACAGATTTTGTGTTGGGGACAAATACTTTATCAAGAATAAGAAAATATACTGTGTCTTGCATAGGCCGACTCCATGATATAATGAAAAAAAAGCGTTCTGTATAGTACATTTTTTGGGACTGATATTTTTGTATGTTTTGAAGTTATTCGATGCGAAAACATCGCCGTAGATTTTCATTTAAAAACGATCAAGAGCTAAGCGGATAGACGATTAACAATTATCGGATATGGAGATGATCTTGTGAACTAAACTTATTGAACATAGCATGCTACGTACAGCAGACATATTCATTGCATGGATGCAAGAAAATAAGATAAACATAAGTAGAGGTTTTGTATGTAATACGTAGTAGAAAATTTAATTGGATTCACAGAGATGTGGAGTTGAAAGATGACATTATAGTTTGAGTTTCGTAAGCAATGTGTATTAAGAAGATTAATGGAATTGACAGGAATATCGAGTTTAAAATAAGATTTATTTATTTTAAGTATAATAAGCAATTTCTGATAAAAAGATTACGGGAACTGATAGAAGTACGCCTAGAGCAAAAAATGAGATCGATCGAGCTTTCTTCACACATATGACAAAAATTTTCGATGAGTCACTCATACGTTTCTTCCAAATTAAAGAATAACAGAATGATAAGGACCCCAGTTAAAAAATGCCTCGAAGGATTACCCCAGGGTTAGATCAAATGATATGTAAAGGACGAAGATATATTTGGTTATGAAGGAGATCTTAATTTACGGATTTCCTGTATGATTGCAGTAAAATAACAAGATTGTTCAACATCTAAATGAAAACTACTTCACAGTTGTCACAACAACAGAAATTTTGACGCCGCTTTCGAAAAACAAACGCGATTGCCATCTACAGATCTTTTCTAACGGAAATGTTAGATTGACTTGTAGTGTGCCCAAGTCAAAATAGTATAAACTTGCGATATTGCAAAGAAAACATAATACAAGTCCCAACTCGCCCGGATTTATTGTATTGTGGCATTTATGTACAGCTATACAAAAGAAAATTATCATGATACAATCATCCTATGTTGAAGAGATCTTCTATATGTTTCTTTCATGAAGTATCAGTTTCCACGCTAAAGTTTTCTCCTGGTTCATATGCTGCCGTCTCATCGTTGGTGGTATTATCGGCGGTGGCTTTAGTATCCCTTTCTGTACCCTGATCATCATCATTGTACCGCGGTTCGCTTGTCTCCACTGTCCGTTCCTCTGTATCGTTCGGTGTCAAAGTCGTTCCTGGATTATCTCGTGTGGTTGTACTGTCATCGTCCACGATTCCTGGAAAATATAAAAATGATCAAATTTGACGACTCCGAGTACAAGAAAAAACTTTTCACTTAAAGTACATGAAGTACACACTACGTAATTTTATTCTGTCATGTGATTGAATAAAGATAGGAAAAAGATAAGGTGTGAATAAGGTCAAATGATGAAAAATTTATACGCTACGAGAGTTGATATAAAGTTTTTAATACGATTTACACGTTCTTTTGCTGTACCTTCTGCTGTACAGGCAAAAAAGTTTTGTCCAATGTTATTTTTTGTTTATATATTATCGATAGTCACCCAAGAAACAAAACTGACAACCTTCGCCTGACGATTGCCACAACTAGAAAAAGACCCTCACTATCCCCCTCGATTGCCACTAAACCCACCAATGTAGTAATGAATCACAATACCTGTTTCGATTCTGTTCTTCACATCATCAATTGCCTTCCCGATGGCCATCTCGGCGGCTTTGTCGTCCAAACACTCCGCAATGCCGCGAGCATTTTGAAAGGAGGTGAGCGACATTGTTAACTCGCCAAGTTTGACTGAACAAAACAACAATGATATGGTTGACATTCGTCCTTAGAACAACCAACGTGACTGTGTGTGTTGTCACGTGACTTTTCACATATGCGAAATCATTTTGCACGTCGTTGTTGGGATGAAACATGGCGTTAACGTTAACGCTTTTTGAATTTTCCTTCAATGCATAAGTCTACGCAAGCGTTGCTCATGGAAACCACGTTCGAAGCTCAGTTGATGGGAAATAGCGGATTTTAGTTGAATACTAAAGTCTACGCATGCGTCGCAAGTGAATGCAACGTTCTGAGCTAAGTTGATCGAAAGTAACGGGTTTTAGATGAACAAAAAGTCTACGCATGCGTTGCAAGTGAATGCAACGTTCCGAGCTCAGTTCATCGAAAGTAGCGGACTTTGGTTAAATGCTTAAATCTACGCATGCGTCCAAAAGAATGACACGCGTTTCGAGCTCAGATGATGGAAATTAGCGGTACTAAATTGAACCATGCAAGACAAATACATATCACTAGATTCCACAACAACGCAACAAACATACCTTGCGACTGCGCAATCAATACAGTCGCATTCAGTTCCCACACCTTTTCTTGTGCCTCCTGCGCTGATGCAAGTGACTGCTGACCACATTCCAAGGCATCCCGGTAGTTCTTCTGTTCGAGATAACATCGGCCTATTTCGTGTTGAAGCCACGTGGTTTCCAATGCACTCTTGCTCAAAGGTAATTTCTCCATCCAGCTATTTATGGCTTGCCCAAACTGACTGAGTCGCGCGTGACAACGCCCAATGTTATCCAAAGCACGCGATATACCATCTTCACTCTTACTGCAAGAATGAAATGAAAAGGATCATAGGATACGTTCATGGATAGAAAAGGATATGTTCTGTTTATTCAAGATGAAGGTAAAAAATTATCGTGGATTGTAGCTTGTAGCTCAAGCTTTTTTTAATTTCTATTTTATGTGTGTAAAGAATATTCTAGTTTCTAGTATCTACATTACTATCTACATTGACACGCATTATTAATTCGTAATACAAGGAATATTCTAGATTTCTGTTGTTCATTCATCTCTACCTTCACCGCGATGTATGACCAATTCTAATTAAAGCAATGTAGAGAAAATTCTTGTTTTCTGTTGTTCATTCATCACTTTCTATACTGACACGGTTACCCATCTTCAATTAAGGCAATACAAAGATTATTCTAGATTTTGTTGTTCATTCATCATTATCTACACTGACACAGTTACCGATCCTCAGTTAAGATAATGCAAAGATTATTCTAGATTTCTGTTGTTCATTCATCACTATCTACACTGACACGGTTACCAATCCTTAATTAAGGCAATACAAAGATTATTCTAGATTTTTGTTGTTAATTCATCACTATCTACACTGACACGGTTACCAATCCTTAATTAAGGCAATACAAAGATTATTCTAGATTTCTGTTGTTCATTCATCACTATCTACACTGACACGGTTACCAATCCTTAATTAAGGCAGATTATTCTAGATTTTGTTGTTCATTCGTCACTATCTACACTGACACGGTTACCAGGCAATACAAAGATTATTCTAGATTTCTGTTGTTCATTCGTCACTATCTACACTGACATAAATCCTTAATTAAGGCAATACAAAGAATATTCTAGATTTCTGTTGTTCATTCATCACTATCTACACTGACACGGTTACCAATCCTTAATTAAGGCAATACAAAGATTATTCTAGATTTTTGTTGTTCATTCATCACTATCTACACTGACACAGTTACCGATTCTCAATTAAGGTAATGCAAAGAATATTCTAGATTTGTATTATTCAATCACCATTTGCTACCCAATACACGTCACTTAGAAGTCATAACCTTGTTCATGCAGTAAAAATAACATTTCTGTTCTGTGTTGAGATCCATCCAATTAAAACCTTCTAACCAGGGGCGGATTTTCTGAGGGTGCAAGGGGGTGCATACCCCTCTGAAATCTATAGCACCCCAAGAAAAATTCATGATATTACGAATCTGTAAACTATTACTATAATAATATTAGAGGCTAGGAAATTGTACAGTAAGTCTGGGCAAAAAGTGGAACTTATCATTTCAAATGTAATTACAAATTGACTGTTGATATTAACTGACATTTCGTAGAGTACCAAGAAGTTTAGTAGAGTTCTGAGAAGGAGTGTTGGTGTTGATGTTGACTACTGTTGACTTGACACCGAAGATGAATACATGTTTGTAAATGTAGATCGTCCAGGTTGGTATAGTCCTGAGAAGGACTGTTTTTGTTGTTGTTGACTGACGTTTCGACAACCTTAGCGGTAGTCATCTTCAGAGTCAAAAAGGTTAGGGTCAGGGTTAGGGTTATTTTTTGACTCTGAAGATGACTACCGCTAAGGTTGTCGAAACGTCAGTCGACAACAACAAAAACAGTCCTTCTCAGGACTATACTAACCTGGACGATCTACATTTACAAACATGCAACGATACTCTCGGGTTCAAACCATTTACTTTATTAAGATGAATACCGCTAAAATTGTCGAAACGTCAGTCAACGTCAACACCAACAGTCCTTCTCAGTACTCCGTAACCTGGACAAACATGCGAAGCTCTGTACAGCAAAACAGCCAGCTTAAAAGCTAAAAAAATTTCATTTTGCAAGGTTCGCTAATCTGTAAGCCTATGAATTTACAAAAGCCTGAGGCCTTGGCACCTTTAGCTAGGAAATGCACCTCATTGGAGAGATAACACGAATAAACAAAATTCCCTTACATTTTACGAGAAATGCTCAGGATGGTTCTCCATTTGGTAATCGGAATACACGAATGAAGATTAGCAATAACTTCTTGTTTATTGGAAATTTCTTGGTCTCTCATCGCTTTCACTTGACGTAAAGTGTCCTCCGCCTGTTTCAAACTGCCTTCATTATCCCCATTCGTTAATTTCTGGTCAATATCCTCCAGAGAACGTAACACGAAATCCGTGGTCTTCGAGTTTTTCGGCTTATTACGATGAGGTAAAGGTTTCTGTTTCTTGCGAGCATAAAGCGGCTTCTGTTGGCGCCAAAATTCTGTTCTTGAGTCCAGGTAGGTAATGCCATTGGATATTAATGAATAGATAGTATCGTCATTGCTACCTTGAACAAAACCTGAAACATCATGAAATGAACATTAATGTCAATTGAAAGTCCGGTTAGGTCATTAAACTTTGCATGTTAGAAGTGCCTCTTACTAGCTAGTTGCTACATCCTGACAAGACAAAGGAAACACGATCATTTCCCACTATAAACTCCCTTTTCCATTTTTTCCCCGTCAACCCATCCCCATTTGTTCACAGCTAACCCCCACACGAGCGTCGTTAGAACGTCAATTAAGGGAGACCATGTTCACATATTCCCCTGCATCAATGAAATCATTTGCAAAAGAAGTTAGCCAGGCATAAATTTCTGATTATACGAATATGGTCCTCCCCCAATTAACGTTACATTGATGCCAATGAACCCCCACCTCAATTTACCTTTGTCATTCATAAGGTTTTCCAGGTATTGTTTATCGGCGTAAAGTTCTCCAAGTAACTAAATATTAAAAAATTGCACAGTTAGTAAACAAACAGTCGGTCTCACAATGCAGTTGGTTAGTTGAGTTTAACGACATCACAGTTAGTAGACAAACAGTCGGTCTCACAATGCAGTTGGTTAGTTGAGTTCACATTACAGTTAGTAGACAAACAGTTGGTCTCACAATGCAGTTGGTTAGTCGAGTTTAACGACATTACAGTTAGTAGACAAACAGTCGGTCTGCAGTTGGTTAGTTGAGTTTAACGACATTACAGTTAGTAGAGACAATGCAGTTGGTCTTACAGTTAGTAGACAAACAGTCACAATGCAGTTGGTTAGTTGAGTTCAATGACATTACAGTTAGTAAACAAACAGACAATGCAGTTGGTTAGTTGAGTTCAACAACAAAGCTCAACATTTGTAAGCTATGCTTTGAGACACAAACAAGAGAAGATTGAATACTTGCACCTATGCCTATGGAATCTTACCTTACTTGATAGTTAGATTCTTACATATACAAGGAATCTTAGACTGATGCCTGTTTGGTTAGTCTGGGGCAGATCAATGCGTATGTAGAGGATCTCTCAGAAGGTATCTCATTCTCATTGGCTAAAGATTTTATACTTCATAGTCTGGGGGTAGATCAATCTCCATAATAGAATGGTATAAGCACCTTTTGACAGTTTTAGCTGAAGATCCAGGAGGTTTGGTATTCTTTCCTCGGTTGGTCTGATGCTGTTGGTTATTTCTGTTCGACACCTTGGTTTCACATAACCTTTTGGCTTTTCTTTCAAAACAAATATCACGAATAAATATTTGACTTGTTAAAACATTGTTTCATGAGGTTTGGCTTTTCCTTTCAAAATAAATATCATGAATATTTGACTTGGACATGTCCAAAATGAAGTAGCACTCACCACCTCATCTTGTTTTGCAAAGAATGAAAGATCACCTTTACTCTCCAATTTTATTTTTGCTGCACCTGGATAAGAAATAGTAATGCAAAAAATCCATCACTTTTCACCTTCACACCTCTCACAGCGAATAACCTTTTTATTTTTTTTAATTTTATAATGAAAAATTCACGTTGTAAAATGGCCGATGTTTCGCTTTTTGAGACAAAAATTAGATCGTTTTCTTCCAAGTTCACTTTATATGGATGGTTAAGTTCACTCGTGAACAACTTATATGGCTTGTAAAGCAATTTAAAAACTTAAATTTCACTTTGTAAATACATACATTGCAAAAAAATAAAACATGCTGATGTAGCCAATCAGATTGCAAGAAATGAAAAACATTACTTCGCATGTGTAAATAAAAACAAAATATGCTATCTCAAGAATGGCAAAATGGTAGATGGCAAGGCCAATGCAAGTCTATAAAATGTTGAAAAAAGTTAAAAAGTTAAACTTGTTAAAAAGTTAAACTTGCAAAACAAAACTACCCATGAATTTCCCAGACACAATTAATGCTAAATGAGAAGAAAGTACGTTATACTAGAACTTACGTCCAATGGAATTATCAATTGCCTCTTGAGCCTTTTGTATCCCCAGTCGAAATTCTTGCTGCTCTGGTCTCAACTTATTTCCACGATGATAAAATACCAAAGCATGCTCAAAATCTCCCATTGAGTAGAGGGCTTCAGCTTTTTGATATAATGCCTGTGAAACAATGACGAAATTAATGCCAAACTGAATGAGCGCATTGTCTAAAAAGGTCTAAAATTACCCGAATAAACTCTTTGTCGTCTACCAAAGCACTTTCGGCATCTTTCAGGGCCGCCTCGCTGTCACCCAGTTGAAGATGACATTTTGAGCGCGCAACCAGAGCTGATTTCTCCGTCGGTTGAAGCTCTAACGCCTGGTGAATATGAAATATAAGTTATTTAACAAACTCTAACGTTCAAATAATAATCCAAAGTGATATTCTTGTAGCTGTTGCCGTGAAATGTAAAGGCCTCGCAAACTCACCAAATTGTAACTATCCAGCGCTTTCTTGTACTCCGCTTGCTTAAACAATACATCTCCTTCAGCCAAATACGTAGTAAAGGAGCTCTTTGGACCTTCTTCTTGTTCTTCGTCGTCGTTGTACATTCCTTAAACCGTAAAAATGAAGCTAAAACAGGATTCAAACTTGTTGGTCATTCGCATTGAAGAAGATAAAAGCAAATTTTGTTGCAGGTGTCGTATCGTCTCTATGGAAATAGACTGCTGGTCACAAATACCGCTGACGGTAAACTTAGCCCGCCAATAAATCAGAAGCCCGAATACGCGGGTGTAATTCTGGGTAGATGTTACCAACTTGGCACTTGGCATATCATCAATATCAACAACAGAATTATGTTAGCAAAGAGAACATTCTCATAGAAGAGTCACATACACAAAACCCCTTCGCATTAATCCATTTTAAAGGAAAGGAATGAAGTGGAAAGGGGAAGAATCGGCGTTGGGCTTTTCATCCATGATTGATGCACTCTAAAACAAGAAAAAGAGAAATCGATCAAGTGCGATCGATTTACTGTGTTTAGTGAACAGACTTCTGTTTGGATAGCGATTATATTTGAGAATGGGAAACTTGGCATGCTGCATTCCGCATGCAGATAGTGATCACAATTTTGATGGGAGCGCAATTTATTTGTCTAAGCGTGGGGAAGAAAGCGGCCCCGATCTTCCACACATTAGCGAACGCGAAGGTATAAAGAAAAACTCTAACGATTTGCATCTCGATAAATTGCAATATTTAATGTTTAGATAACTCACAGTTCATCGAGAATTAAATGGAAATATCGTATTACATAAAGTGCATCTTGTCTTCCTTTCAAGATCTAAGCAATCACCAAGGAACTCTCTTCATGCAAAGATCGGTTCGATTTTCGGGTAAGGAATTCGTCTCTTAAGTATTCGTGAGGACACTTCAAGTTTATTATTTTTGACTACAATGACTTGCAAGTGGACTAGATGAAAGCACCTGCTCTAGCATGTATTAATTGTATGGAGCTTAATTGAAAACACCTGTTTAAGTTGCAGAACTTTTCTTCAATGTTCATCATTCTGCTAATGCCATAGTCCTGGAACTAAGCCTCGGGGGGCTAATCTTTTAACTTGCGTCGTTTCAATATTTGCATTTCAATATTTGCATTCAAAGGTCATTGTTGCATTTTTCTTTGCATGAACTAATTCAGGCAAGGGTAAACTGCAGGGAAAGAGAGCTCTTTCAATGAACGTCGATTTACGGAGAAAGCAGAATGGAGAAGTATGTTGAAACTTTTAAATGATAAATTAATGTTCATGCATTAACAACCCATTTGTGATAAAACTGAAGAGCTTTTGGTTTCAAGTTTCTGCAAATTAATTCAATTTTTATCTGATAACCAGGTCTACTACAATCCAAGGCTTTCAAAAAAGTTCAGTTCATGTTCTACAATATTTCTTGACGATAACACGGTCAGCCAACCAAACTTGAAGTCAATGGTGAAATGGTAAAAAACATGGTGTTTCAACAATGTTCTTATAAAACTGCCATAAATGTTGACCTATATTCCATCTTTCTAGTGTGTCAGTTGCCATCTACTTTTTAATCAAATACAGGTAAACTTGTTCTTCTGTTAATTCACTTTGATTTCAAGTTCTTCCTTGGCTAAATAGTTGCTTGGCTACTACATAGGGATGAAGATACAAGGACGCTGGATATATTTGATGAAAAACAACATCCATTGACAGTAATTATAATATTGTAAATCATTAACAATGTCAATACCTTGTTTAAATTATGAAGTAACCATGTTATGGAAGAATATTGAACAGTTTGAATCAACATGTTCACTTTAAAGTTTGCAATGATTTTTTAGAAACAATTTGTGATGGATGACTATGACGAGATTGATCCAAGTCAAAGGCAAATCTACAAATTTGTTAAAACATTGTTTCATGCAGCACAATTAACTGCAGAATGTGCAATAATTACATTGGTATGACATCTTTTTGTCCGTAATAGACTTCAAGGCTTCTGATTGGCCTGCATTCAAGTGACATGAACAGTCAAAATATAATTTACTCACAAAACACGACCATTGTTTACTGCATTATGACATGCTAACAAAAACAGCATTATCATCAACCTTCACCTTGACTTTGTAAACAAAAGCTAAAGACAGCTGTTAGGTCGATAATAGCTCAACTTTGCTCAATAATCTGTATGGTAAAAGAGCTGTGGATGCTGATGACCTATGTAACTAACTGGATGTTGTGGTATCTTTCAGATATACTTAGAAAGGTTGTTGACATATGCTGAGATTGATATATACCCAGGAAATTGGAAGCGTATTGTATTAGGAGCAATCTTGCTGTCTTCTAAAGTATGGGATGATCAAGCAGGTATTACAACAGACCATAAGTGTCTGTAAGTCAACATTGATGTACATCATTAACCATGGATGTTCATAAGTTAACGTGTGGGAGATAGGCAATATTTTACTATCAAAGATATTTCTCTATTTTTCAGTCTGGAATGTTGATTACTGCCAGATATTGAAAGACCTAACTGTTGAAGATGTGTAAGTGTATTACATTGTATGGCTTTCGACTCGAAAATTAATGCTTCCTCGCAAGCAAATCTTGTGGCGCTGTTACGTTTTTTATTGTCGACGCACATGTATCTAACTGCTTGATTTTCAAAAGAAAAGAAGGCAAAACAGTAATCCTCATAAAAAAAGCCATTACAATATGCACTACATTCATCAGTTGTGCAGTTGACTCTAGGCGAGCGAGAGCGCACGTGCGCCCATTGAAAGCCCTTCTTTGACGTGCTGTGAATGACTTCATTTCTCACCTTTGGTCTTATTAGGAATGAATTGGAAAGATTGTTTTTGGAACTTCTTCAATTCAACATCAATGTTCCATCGAGTGTTTACGCCAAGTACTATTTTGACTTGCGATCTCTGGCAGAAGAGAACGATTTGGCATTTCCTCTTGAGCCGCTGAGCAAAGAAAGAGCAAAAAAACTAGAGGTAAATTGTATTCTAACAACCGCCCGCGTCTGTTGTTGATCTATGTTCAGGGCGTATTTGAATTGTTTTCTTGCAGGCCATATCAAGCATTTGCGACAACAACCTCTCCGACGTTTCGTTATCAAGCTTAAAAAGAACTTCTAGTGTTGATGGATTGACATCGAAACGTTCCAGTATGGCTATATTATCATAACCTATCCTCGTGCCTCCTCTGTAATTCCTTCTTATCCATATTCTCAATTGTGGTGTATAAGTACATAATATCATTAAGATGAAACAAATCGCCATTTTTGTCGCAAGTTCACATCATTCGTGAAGTTTGGCTTTATTCAAGTGAAAAGGAAGATGCACAAGGAAACAGGCAAAAAGCCAAATGAACACTTGTAGAAAATACAGGAATGATGTACATAGATAGGACAAGATATTTTTGAAATATTGAATGCAGTAAGAATTTGTAAATATCAAAGTTAAAAATTTTGAAAACAACTGCATTAAGAAACCATAAAATTGAGATAATCAGATTTCTCGTACATGTGAGTAAATTTATGTTGCTAGACGATCTAAAGTCCCGCGCTGACCTCGTAAAGATGTGAATTCATGTGAAACATATTTGACTTCACGTTGATTCAATTTTTCTTCATCGCCATTCTAAAATTAATAAAAAAAAATCTTGACACTTATCACGAAGTAAATATGTCAAAAGTTTTTTTCTTACTTAAGATCAAATAATTCCTTTCTAATGTCATCCATGGGATCTTCTTCTTTCTCTTCTCGAATTTCTTTCAACACCACATCCCTAGAGGAGACGGCAAGGTCATGATTAAACATAATAAAATTTCTTAATTTCGATTCAAAATCCTGCACATATTGATGTGAAATTATAGATTACAAAGGCAGTTAAAAAGAACTTCACGCCAGGAAAAGATAAGTAGTTTAATAGGGTAGAGTAAATAGTTTGAACCCGGGAGTATCGTTATATGTTTGTAGATGTAGATCGTCCAGGTTAGTATAGTCCTGAGAAGGACTGTTGTTGTTGTTAACTGACGTTTCGACAACCTTAGCGGTAGTCATCTTCAGATAGGGTAAAATTGGGACAAAATGCCAAAACATTAGATATAGGTAACAACAAAAAAATAATAGTGTATTTAATAAATATAGTTGACCCCTCTTGCTTTGATTACTGCTTTGCATTGATAAGAAGTGCTGTCTATCAAATAAATCAATCTTTGACGTGGATTATAGTCATCACTATATCCAGCATTGATAGACGAACCCTGAGCAGTTCTTTTCACTGTCTGTATAACCTTTCTCCCGAAGTTGTTTATAATGAAATAAAAGAGTGCTAATTGCAAGCGTAGAGCGGATATTTTTAATTCATAAACGATTTACAAATCATTCAGTAATTTAAACCGTTTTTCCAAGTCATCCAGTGCAAATTTAAAGTGTGCAAACAAAATATTGCAAATTGTTTGTGAAAATGCACCATAACCGCTCAACAAAACTTGGAGAATCTGTTCAGGCAAGTGTTAAAACTACCTAATTTACCCGTAGGAAAAAAAGCTTTGATGCTCGCTTAAACGAGGCATAATTTCGTCAAACAACAATAGAAACGGATCATGTGTGTTCACCTGATTCGCGCAACACGGTCTGCTGAAGATTCCCAAGGATCTTGGTCGTCATTGTCTTCTAACATCTCGTCACCTAAATCGTCGTCTGTGATGTACACCTGCTCCTTGTAATACCCCGCTCTTGGGTTCTTTAAAAAAATACAGACAAACAAGGATTATATTCACGATTCACAAAAAGATCCATGTTGAAGTACAATGACATAGAAATAGTAAAAAAAGCAAGCACTTCAGCCATTGTGACAAATTTACACAACGAAGCGCGTCACATAACGACATAAAAATGATTATTGTATCTTTATGATGTTGGTATGTGACTTTGCATTTTTACAATTGCTTGAAAAAAACATGAAAATATAGCGCTTTGATTGCTTTGTTAGTCAATGCTGCCCTTGTAAGCCATTGGCAGATAAGATATACAATATCTTGCATTGCTATATGATGTGTGAACTAAGCTTCACACAGTCTTACAGTAAGTTCTTACCTAAATATTCTAGAGGAACGAGACGAGTTGAAACTCAACGATGAACAATCTAATAAACTCTTTTATATATGAAAGTTTTGGCTTGCATGAAAATTTTTCTTGCCCTGATTTGTTCGTGTGAGGAGAAATATGGACAAGTTAAAAGAACGTAGTTAATGTCAGCTTTTTAATGGAAGAAAAATTGTTCCCAAAAATCTCGATAGAAACTTGTCGACCGAACAGAGCGAAACAATCTAGTAATGACGCGATTTTAAGCTGTTTTCGAATATCATTTAAATCTACAGTTAGAATAAAATAGAGGAAACATATGTTTGGATGATTAAAAAAACCAAAATAGCAAAGAAAGGAAAAATCTATGTTTACCATGGTAAAGATATGTGTAAAATTTCATAGCATCATGTTTATGAAACATTCCTAACACAGACAATTCTTTCAGTGATGGACATTTCTTCGCGGGCAAACGGTTTGCCGGGTATTATAATTGTTTCATTAGGTCAGCCTTGTTCGGTAAATAATAGAGTGATTTTACGTGGATTTCACACTCTTTTTGAATATCGGACTTTGCATTATAGAACACGGACATGGCCCCTCTAGCAGTTCGGTGTTTTTTTTCAAGTATATCTCAACACAAGTTCGAATAATGATCATTCTAAAAATGTTCACTTACATCGATGAAACTAGTAATGCAACTCTGCTCGAGTCGTGCAATAATCTTCATTGTGTCAGCGGTATATTGAAGTTTTGCACAGCTCTTTGCCTCTTCGTAGGTGCAACTCAGCTGTGCAATGAGAACATTCAGCAGCAAAACAACGACAAGACCCATGTAGACCAAGAGTAATAGTATGACTAACCAGCTGAAAAATATAAAATGAAGAAAAAAAGGGGAAGTGAACGCCAGTGTAAACATAAAGATAGAGCATTGTCAATAATAATCGGTTACAGAAAGCTTGTAGGTAACGATATTCAACAATAAGTCATTTTTGTGATTGTTTCAAACCATATTTTAAATATAAAGTTTCACTGTTTAAATAACAAATTTATAGAATGAACCATCCAGTGAACAGCCAAAAACATGCAAGTTGAAAGTTAAGAAAAGTTGAAAAGCCTCTGAAATTACAAAATCCGAACTTAATAAGACATTGTTCCAAATCACACTTTACTAACACGCGAGATAAGTTTTTATGACGATCATATTCCACAAAACAAGTGTCACAATACGAAGTTGCAGCCTTGCAGGACAAAACTAGTGATGCCCCATAAGGTTGATGCTAAAATTGGTGTTTTAAAAACAAGCCTTGAAGCCTGGACACGACACAAACAACTGTATTCGACACTTGGTCTCTTACCCGAACTCCTCATAATCCTCGACGACAGAATCTCCTTCGACAAGAACACGGAAACCAGCCAAAAGAAGCCAAGTAAAATTGCTGTAAAGACAATTAATTGTTTATTAATAAAATAGTTAATGAAATAACCAATCACATGACAATCCACAGAACAAAGCATACGTGAATGAACTTTGCATTTCGTCAGTTTTCAAAGCAATGTACAACGACCCACAAAATCCAAAGAAAACGACAAAGAAAACGGACATAAAACGCGTGATATCGTTTTTCAAAATATTCTTCAGCGTTGTAGTGTAGAGACCAGTTATTCTGTAGGAGAGAAAATAAAATACAAAATTACGATGAAAGCACTGTGTTATGAAAAGAGCCTGCAATTTTCCAGACCGTAAATACCTGAAAGCGTTGGCAAATTTGAAAAGACGAAGAACATTACAAGCATATCCAATTGCTGCCACACTCCATTGCCATTTCATTTCAACAAAACGCAAAGGAACGACAAGAAATGTCAAGAAAATGCCAGCCATGTCAAGGTAGTTATCGAACATCATAAAATATGTCCGACCTTCCCTGTCGAAAACAATTATAGTCACGTTGGGATTTTAAAGCTAAAACTCAAAAGATGTCGAATAGTTGTAAGTGACATGCAGAGCGCGAATTGCGATGTCTATATAAATACGAAAGCTAGATCCGAGTTCGTTTGGTAAAAAAAAATACAGAGAGGGCGCTGAGATCATGTACTATAAGTATATATTTATCAATGAATAAGAACATATTAAACAAAGGACTAGGACTTAACGAGCTAAACAGTCAGATAAAAGACATTCCGAAGGAAGAGCAATCTTTGATGCATTAAAAAGTCAAACTGTTTAACTCTTGTCAGAAACAAACTCAGTACAATCAAAAACCGAACTTCATTTTCAAACTTTTAATCTTAGCAACTTGCATGTGTTCAGTTAATATATACCACGTGTAAATTAATCAGCACCTCCCCCCCCTTTTTCTTAAATGGTCTGAAAAGATTAATTCCTAGTGGAGGATTTGATATAAATATAGTTCAACATTCGGGTTACCTCTTCACTTCATCCAATTCGTCCAAAAAATGCAAGAAAAGGAACACGATACTCATAACTTCGCAAAAACCACGAAATTGATTTGCGCGACTGTCGTAATTTAAAGGATCTTTACGAGTAGAGCCGTATACGAGAGCGAAGGAAAGAAGAAACAAAAAGACGAGAAAGAACAAACCCTTCAATCTAAAACAGAAAACATCGCTACACCTCTATCTTCGATTGCAGGCTTTAAGGGATTATAAGATATAAACATCCACACACTCATATGATTTACAAGACAACTTAGAAACGCTTCAAAAATTAAAAATGTAGGAGCAATGTTTGAAATACAATCTGTTATCATCGGCAAAAGGTATGTAAATAAACTCAAAGTAAGTTACACCAAACTTACCTGAACCATCGACGACCAAACTTGTTCCATTTTCTTGCTACCAACATTCGCACAACAGGATGCTGAATTGCTTCCTGTGAATGCACATTAACAATGTTAAAGGGAAAAAACATAGTCCACGTTATAGATCTACAGTTCTTGGCATGGGTCTGTGTAATGCTGAAGAAAAGCTTGCCCCCTGTATACGTCACATTTGTTTGAGCTAGCGCATAAATTATAGTAATTTAATCAAAATGGATTCCCATTGTTATTTCAATTTCCAAACATCTAATTCAAAAGGCTGTTGCAAATGAGTTATTTAGAGCTTGGTTGTGTATCTTTCGTAGCTATATTTTGCTTGCACTTTATGCAACGAAATTCCCTCCATCAAAAATTATAAAAATTTTATAAAAGATGATATCAGAACAGTTTTGGAAGCCGTTCACGTGTACTCGAATAAAGCAGTATAATTTATACGATAACTCAAAACGGATGTGACGTATGCAGGCGCAAGCTTTTCTTCACGAGAAGTGAGGGCATATGAAACAGGCTGGAAAAAATTATTCATGGAAAATGAATATTGACAATGCTGCCACTTTCCACAAGCCCACCTTATTCTTACTGTCTGCAATAAGTCGAAGACATGACACAGATTTGCAATTGAATTTTTCATTTGCCGTTGTCTTGGTCGATGTCATTGCCGTGCTCTCACGGTCATCATCGTCATCTTTCGGCATCAACTTCGGTCGTCGGCCCTTACCATCAGCTTCCAGGACGTGATAATAGAAATCATAGTTCATGGGATTATCGGGGACATTGCTTATGGCACGCTGTATATCATCGCTGTACTCCTCGTGCTTATGGCAGTCCGGTAGATATGGCCAACGAGGATTGATCAGTTTGTTCAATACTGCTTTGACTGTTTTCTGTCAAATAGATTAATAATAACATTTATAAAAAAAAAACACAATAAAACGCGAGCGATGATTTGGCCAATAACTGTGTTTGCATTAGCCCGTGCAAAGCGATCTGAGCTCAACCAATTAAACCAATCAATCAGTCAAAGAGAATTTGCAAATCAATCATGAATAAATATAAAACAACAATTTAAACGTTACTGTTGTTATTGTCGCCTTTATTGTTATTTTATAAAAGAAATAAAATATGCTTTTCTTGCTTGCACTGCCTTATGCAAACCTCAGAGACGTTTGTGAGAACTCTCGATCTTTAGTCTCGGGTTAAACAGATCTGCTCCTATAGTTCTCCCAAAAGTCAACTCGGTTTGAAAACACAGTACTTCCATCAGTGCCAGGGCAGAGAAGTAAAGGCTCAGTGCATATTTTCTATGATGTTGCCTTTGTTATATTGAGCAAAACATATAACTGATGTACTTTCGAAGCAGTGGCGAAGCCAGCCCGCAAGCTTGGTCGTGCTATGTAAATATTTTGATGTTCACTCGCTGTAGAAACAATATATTTCTAAAGAAATTTATAATGTTAATGATGAAATATTTACATAGCACGACTGACTACGACTGACTACGACTGACTACGTCACTGCTTCACGGAGACACCTTTTGAAGTAAAGCTAATCCTGAATTAACATTTGAGAAGATCGTGAATGTTCACGTAAGTCAAACTAAAATCCTATTTTTCGTATGATTTTAGCGCAATCAAAAAGTTCACGCTTTCTGATTGGCTTAAACAATTTCATCAAAGATGAAATGACCAATGAAGTAATGTAACATGCGTTAAAACAGCAATGGTTAGGAAATCAAGTTCGAACGAACAAGTTTTGTTAATAGATTTTGAACGGTAAGTCAATAGACATAAATCCAACAGTACCTTCATACCACATTCCCCAGTTTTTGGATCTTGATAATTAATGATGTCACCAAAGTAGAATTTCGAAGGAGTCTCATTATCTCGTGAAAGAAACAAACTCTGAACACTACAATATGAACATGAAACATTTTTAATAGTGGATCTTTTATTGTCATTTTTGCTTCCCGTGTCAACACACACAAGAAAAGATACATATCAAGTACCGATGAAACTAAAGGTTCGCAGTAACAACCATAAAGAGGGTTGGCAGTACCAATCATAAGGGGCGTTGGTAGTAACAATCATAACGGGGGGTGGCAGTAACAATCATAGTCATAAGAGGGGTTGGCAATAACAATCATAAGGGAGTTGGAAGCAACAATCATAAGGGGTGTTGGTAGTAACAATCATAAGGGGCGTTGGTAGTAACAATCATAAGAGGGGTTGGCAGTAACAATCATAATCATAAGGGGGGTCGGCAATCACAATCATAAGGTAGTTGGCAGCAACAATCATAAGGGGCGTCAGCCGTAACAATCATAAGGGGGGTGGTAGCAACAATCATAAAGGAGTTGGCAGTGTAAATAAAAGTTCCTTCTTCTACTGCTCTTCCTCTGAGTAGAAGACAACAAACACAAAATATGCTGAAAAAAAAACTCAGAAATTGAAGGGAACATCGTCACCTTACCGATCATAAATCATTTGAGAAATAAGGTAAGCAGCAGCATCATCCTTACGGCCTTCTAAAGCCCACTCCACGGGAAGCTTGCTGTCTCGACCTTCCCGTGTTCTCAAGGCAATCAAACCAGGATATTTCTCAACTAGACAACGACATACTTGTGAAAAATTCTGTAGGACGGCAAGATGTAGAAGAGTTGGCTCTTCATCGATATCTTCATAACGATATTCTTCATAGTCGCCGAGACCATCATAAGTAATAATGATTTCAATAAGTCTTACTATCTACATTAAACAGAATACATATTTAAAGAAAATGTGAATTGTATTCGAATGTGAGTTTATGAGCACTTTTATCAATGGTCATACAAGGTATTCCAAGCTTGCAATGCGTTCAGGATTGTTTCGGAAAATCTTCATCTTTGGCCATTTGTAAATAATCACCAATAAAACATCGTCACCATGCTTCTTCATCAACCTCTCTGCCCGTACTTCATCCATTGCTTTGTTGAACGACAGGCCATTTCTGTACTTCCGGTCAACCTTCAATGTATCATACATTGAGTGATTAATAAGTGACATCGACATAAAGTGACGCTCACAGCAACATCACATGAGCGCTGTTTCAAACACAATTTATTCGTTACAACGTTTGTTTGGTAGGAGAGGCATTTCATGTAGCCTACAACAAATACCTTTTAACTTTTTCAGAAACACAAAAACACCTTCAAATGAATGGCTTAAATACAATGTGAATTACGGTCAACTCGGCCCAAATTTCCAGTCTCTATTGTTTGATATTTATCGAGATTTTAACACTATATTACGAAACACTAAGGTTAAAAATTGTGTAATTGTTGTTTTTCTTAACAAAACCTTGCAAGCATCGTTAAGCTGTTCCTAACTCAGGGATCAAACTACATATAGAATGCAAGGATCGAAAACCTTTAATTGGCGGACCATTTAATTCAAATACGAAACAAGATCATAACTTCAGATTAAGGTAAGTCGTTGACTCAAAATATAGTTTGATAATTTTTTAAAGCTAAGATGAAGTAAAAACTCAATGGTTGTGTCATGGCGCCAAGATTGTTGCTGGGCCGAGTTGACCAGACACCATACAATGAGCCTGGGGTGGATTAATCAATATGAAAGCACTACAAACTTACACATTACGACCAATACATTGGCCACAAAGTTGTTTTAACTTATAAAAAGAAAGTTATCGTTTACTAAGTGTAAAATGCAATGTTCAATAAATTCACTTAATCATTTCGACCATTATGTAAAGTAATCAAAGAGTTTTCAGTGGTTACGTCAAAATTCACAACCTCTTTCCAAAAATCTTGATCAAACTGTTCTTTGAACTCTTCGTCGGGTTCAACATTCAACTCTTTTCTGCTTTCAAATCGTCCATCATCGGTATTTCTTCGGATGCCATCATGAGAGAAGACTGCACCATTAAGCTTTGAAACAGCTAAGGTGACGAATAAAACCGTGTGATTCACATTGTTTTTTTGTCACGAGCAAAACGCAAGTGCACAGCACGTGGAGAAGATGATTCGCGTGTTGACAGCAACAACACACTCACAAACACTTAGTTTGACGTCGTTTTCATCGACATACAAAGGCGTATTCCATATCGTAGGCGAAGTGAAACTTTTTCGTCAAAGATACTAATGCCATTTTCTTTAGGGTTAGGTAAAATCATACACTCCTTCCTGGATGTCCAACTTCTGCATTCTCTCGTCATTTTACTGTGCAACCAAGTCCAAAATAATTGTTTGTACACAACATGCCCACACAAGCCCATGCTTGATTAAGAGCGACTGCACGAGTAATATTTCACACATATTACATATCACGCATTTCCCCTCCATCGTTTCTCGTTAGTTCTACCTGGTTTTATGATATACACCGATACACTGAAGGGAGGGAGAAACAAAATAAAGTACCATTCAGTGTTACGGACAAGAATTAAGAATTGCCAGAACCAAAGCTACCTAAAAAACATCACGAAAACCTATTCAAACAAGTAACATGAAAAGTTTCCTCCCAAAAGACAATCTTTTTGGCAAAAACACGGACCGAATTAATTTAAACAAAAAATTGACCAGTTGGGTTTCTTCAATTGGATATGGGAAGCAGATTGAAAACCAGGTACGCAGTGTGTACATGTTATCAAGAGAAACTGATACATTTTTAAATTCAAACAATAAAATGATAAAACAACCAGTCCGCACACAAAATCTTCAGAAACAGAAACTGCGTGCTTCACAATTTTTATGACTTGATGAGCAGTTTTGACTTGATTTCCCAAAACAGCAAAATATTTATCGCCGCAGTTATTTCGTAATTGTCAGAGCATGCTAAGGTCTCTGTTCTGTTTTTTTCTTTGCCGTTGAAGACTCTGATAAACACGAGACACAAAAAAGGCTAACAAGACCTTTCCAAAACAGTAATAATTAAATTATTCAAGTAATTTGAGCATGATGTTAAGGCGAAACTTCGAGAAATTCATTAAAGATCAACAACAATTTCAAACTTCAATAACGAGCACAAAAACTTAACAAAATTCAAGAGCTCTTTCAACAATAGCTTAATACTTTCTCTTCTGTAACCTTGGACTGCAATCGTCAGTCGAAAATACAAAAACGGGCCACAGTAGTTGATGGTTTTGAAAATACTGATTACGTTTCAACCGAGATGGGAAATAAGGGAAAAAAAACAAAATGGTTGTAATTGGAAACGTTTGAAAAGCTAAAACTCAAATTAAAAGCTAAAACTCATATTTGCTTGGTAATCACATCCACAGCCTTCACGTTGGGATATCGCCTGCCATTTGAGTGATGACAGCACTTTCATTGATTACACAACACGATCGGGCAAGAAGCTTGTCGGGAAAACAGCTTTCGGATAAAACTGGATTCTTAATGTCCCTGCTAATTTATTGACAGTTTTGATATGATCCAGGAAAAATGCAATAAAAAGAATAAATTTTCGAACATCAAGAAAGAAAGAATACAAAAAATCTGTGGTTAAATAATAGGTGACAGAAAAGCATCGATATTTAAATACAAGTCGGCAAGATGGACGTCAATGGAAATAAGGTGATGTTCGATACATTTGTCCCCTACGCAACAGTCATCTTTCTCGACTGTCACGCTTTTCATTAAAGTAAAATCGATGAAATCCATAAAGAGAATCCATGAATAAATGAACGTAAACATTTTAGTGATAACATAAGAATTTCATCAACTGCGCAATAAAGAAATTGAAAGAGAAGGTTCTTTATAAACATAGAAAGATGAATATTAGATTACCTTAACATTTCCATTTTAATGCAAAAGATACAAGCTAAGGCAATGGCTAGCCTACTTAAAGTCACGCGACTTGCTCAAGTGAACTACTAGCTAATAAACATCATTGCTAGTGGTAAGTCAGCCCGATCTTATACTCCTACAATTTCAATTGTCAACAAAACTATCGTTCATTCATTTTCCTGCGATCGAACACAAAAGCATCGGTATTTTAGGAGGAATAAAAAACGGCTGGCTTCGCTAATGATTGGCGCATGATTCTCGGATAATATTCCTTTCTAGCTGGTGCCAGTAGCTTGGTTATTCTGCAAGTTCAGTCACGTTATGCATATTTCAGAATACTATCATTATTCACTTCGTTGGAAATCTTTAGTTTTTACAGTGATCGATCATTAGAAAACTTGCATAACTTGACTAGTGACAACATAAACGGTCTGGTTACGACATCAGCTTGGTGCACAAACCCTTCAGACGCACAGTATTACAACGACAAAGCCGCTGTTCTTTTGATCATTTTGTTACGGAACATTTCGATTGGGGTTTTTTCCGAGGTAGTGTTTATGTAAAAAGTTGCGATAAAAATCCATTCAATGATTTTCAAACCAACACGGCGAGTCGCTCCATCGACTGAATTATCTTTGCAACATATCAATTTACAATAAACAAGCGAGCTTTCATGAAAAGGCGCTCACGGCTCGTGCTGAGCAAAATAAACAGTCGATGATTGCGCGTACGAAGAAAGTACAGAAATATTAATTTCGAATATCGTTTAAATTCCTACTGTACTAAATTATACTTGCGAAATTTCCACGTTTAATGTCCACGTGTCTTTAATGTTGCAAAACAGACCAATAAATTTTTCCATTCTTTATTTTTAGGTAAAATCATACACTTCTTTCCACGTTTAATGTCCACGTGTCTTTAATGTTGCAAAACAGACCAATAAATTTTTCCATTCCTCAGAAAGGAAAGGAAACGTTTCGTATGGTCTTGCAAGACTTCCACGTATGTTTCTGAGACAATTTTCTTTCTGTCATGACGATAGAACTGTGCTTCGACATTTTCATCATCTGAACAGAAAGCATTTTTGCACCTTCCAACCAGTTGCATGTTGCTGTTATTTTTCAAAATCCAAAACATTTTCGAAGACTTTTCTACTTTTGCTTTCAAAAAACAAAGCAGGGAGAAAAGATGACACAGGTGCCTCACAAGATCAATCTATACATCTGTTTATAGACGCAGCAACCAAACGAAAGCGCAAACTCGAAAAGTAATGGTGCAATAGAAGTCAAACTGTTGGTTCTACATCAGCTGGTGAAAAAGCCCAAAGTTTATAAAGTTTGTGATGCAATGGACACATACCCTCCACCGCAATCTGTGATGGTAGATCCAGACGTGCGCATAGAGAAGATACCTGCAAGTGGTGAGTTTGACAAAACGACGACACAAGAACTGGGTAGGAGCATTGACAGTTGGACAAGACAAGGTCACGTGGTGACCATTATGTTTCTTGCGAATTTCGATTTTGCAAAATTTGAGAAGAGTACAGGCATAAAACTTAACAAAATAGTTCTGTTCTGCTTCAAAACACCGCACGTTGATCAACCTTCGTGTACGCTTGTCGATGTTAACTTCGAAAAGGCGAAAATGAGAGAAATTCGAAGCGCGATGGGAGATCTGATTGCCGCAGTAAGATCTAAAGGAATGAACTGATCGATAACACACAGTAAATTACTTGATGGCCTATCGATGTATCGTAATCATGTGAAATTATTATAATCAGACACATTGATATTGCGTAATTAAAAAGCAACTCACTGCATGCACTTTAGAAACATTTATCCTCGACAAAATTAGCGTTGCTCGAGTCCAAATAAAGTGCAAATACCCACGTGTTCAAACATTCGTTGTGCTGATGTAACGCATCGAGTTTCGAGTGAAAATTGATTTACAAGAAATGTCATTTTCTAAACAACCATGTAATTAGTTAGTACAATTTCTTAGATAGACTCAGTACAATTTCTTAATTCAAAAGTTTGTTAAACACAAGTCTCTTCCTTGTTTACCATTTAAGATGTGGTTCGTAACCGAAGATTTTTGATCGTTGAATAAATTTGTCAGATTCAAAGTTTACTGTTTGAAAAGCTTTATTCGAAACTTTTTTCTTTGGAAGGGAGGTGGTGTGGACTGTGGAGGTGGTGTGGACTGAAGTGGTGGACTGTGGAAGTGGTGTGGACTGTGGAAGGAGTGGATCAGGAGGAAGGATGGAATGGAGGAAGGAGTGGAATGGATCAGGACTGGAGGTGGATCAGGTGGAGGTGGTCAGGAAGGACCGAGTGGATCAGGAGGTGGATCGGATCAGGTGGACCAGGTGGATCAGGTGGAGGGTGGAATGGAGTGGACTGTGGAGGTGGTGTGGACTGTGGAGGTGGTGTGGACTGTGGAGGTGGTGTGGACTGTGGAGGTGTGTGGACTGTGGAGGTGGTGTGGACTGTGGAGGTGGACTGTGGAGGTGGTGGACTGTGGAGGTGGTGGACTGTGGAGGTGGTGGACTGTGGAGTGGTGGACTGTGGATGGTGGACTGTGGAGGTTGGATGGTGGTGGACTGTGGAGTGGTGGACTGTGTGGATGTGGTGATAGAGCTATTCTGGAAGATGGACCCATGTTACATAGAATGGTGGATCGGACCAATGAATGGAAGGGGAATAGTGATAATATGAATTAATACACATAGAGGACATAATCGTTTGCATTTTGCGAAAGGCTTGAGTCTGTTTGATCAGCAATTTCGTTACTTTTTTCGATTAGAATACAAAATGGTGACGAGAAGTGGACCAGTTGGTTGAACTCAAAGAAAAAATAAAGTGAGTCACCACTATATCGTCAAGCAAACTTCTGTAGCTACGTATTGAATATATGACCATTACGACATAAGTTACAATTTCATGTATTCATAATGAACGGAACTACGCATTTATCAAAGCAATACATTCCCTAAGACATGACGATCAATGGGGAAAAGTGCTAATTTATCACTATTTGCTTTAAATGTTAAAGTTGTTGTCCATAGGTTCAAGCAGTTGACACAAATTTCAGTAAAATTGATTCCGGTAGAATGAAGAGCTAATTTTTTGATCCGAACTAGGCAATAAGATAGTCTTTTCTGAACTTTTTTTTCTTCATTTTTGCAGTCCAAAAGCAACATCACCAAGCATACACTTAGGTTTGTCAACATGTCTTGTACTCAAGCAGAATTTGACAATTTCATCTTTATCTTTCGGATCTGTACCAACATGTGAGTTGCACTCGCTGATCTCGGTTTAAATTGTTTAATGCTCCTGGTAGATTTCATCGATTTAACTTCTCTAAATTGAGCTGTATTTTTTAACGTTCGAAAGTTGTATACGAAACATCGAGTATAGTAATCCTACCTTGTTTGCCACCCTTACGCTGATGTTAAAGAAACTGCAAGTCGCTGTTTTTCAAATGTTCTTTTCCGTTGCACGCGGCTCAAGGAAGAATCTTCATATTTCTTCTCCAATAAAACCAAAGTTTTAACCATTAACCCCTTACAAGACATCACGTGACATGCATGCCATCAATTTGTTTTGTGCAAACGAAATGCACCATATCCTGGAGCAACAACAAGGTCGACAGTGTTTCTCTAAATTCTGTGTGACGTAACATAATCACGCAAAAACCTTTAAGTCATTATGTTGTTGGGATGCTTAAAAAATTCTCTTCGACCAACAGCATCTCAGCAGTTCTTTCTGCACAATTAGTAGTGCAACGTAAGCTCCTGATCTTAAGTACCCGGAAAATACCGGGGAATTAGACATGATACCGGGGAATTAGACATACCGGGGAATTAGACATGAAAATTTTTCTGATGTTAGAGTAACAACCTGTTATACGATGACATGCAAGGCACTTAAACCACAACAATCGAACCATGTAATCTGCAGCATCCTTTATTCATGGTTGATTCAATAATTAGAAAAACTTGTTCACTTTCATTGATTGTTCAATGCCAACTTTTGCAGACATTCCTTTCAAAAATAATCGCGAAAGTTTGCTTGATTGTAGGAGCGAATCGCATTAATTATTTGTGATTGACTTAAAATCTTTTAATTAACAATCATCAGTAGAAAACTTGAGTGAGAAAAGACAGGAACACTGACGACTCATGTTTTTTTTACTTCACTTTAAAAGCAGCAGTTGCCATTAATTTTTGATGAAGAAAATTCAGTATTTTAATATAGAACTCACAAAATTAGAGGTAAAGATGAGCGCAACGTAGATGTTGTCTTGTCATTTTTCCAAATTTTCAACATTTTCCACCATCTTGAATATTTTAAATAAAGTTGTCGGCATAGGTGGTCAGCGAGCCTAACTTAGTGTAACATTTATATTTGATTCTAATTAGGTAACTGAAAGCTTCTTTCTTCGCTTTTGACAATTAACTTTCTTCTACATTTTTTTGAATTTTGGAACTTGAATTTAACACTGTAAAGATAAGAACGAATTTCGAACCAATGTCGCTATTTGATGCAACTGTGAAGCAAGTCGTTAAAGACATTTCTGATCATACTTTACTTCCTGTTCGCGGTCGTGCCTCGTCAGATTACTGTAAGATTCTATCGCTTGTCGAGCGCAAGACTCGAAAATGGCACTTACCTTGGAAATCCGCATACAAATACGTTCCCACGAAACTGACGCTCAATGATATTTTGCTTGAGGTGTGTTCATTAATTTTTTCACTGTGGGTTTGAGGGGGATATTAGGGAGGTTAAGGAAGCAAGAACTCTAAAATGATAGGCACAGCCACACCCATTTCACCAAGGTTTGGTAGAAAGTTATTTTCTTTTTCACACAGCAGGTTGTAGATGTAGAAGATCTTAAAAAGTCATCAGTACTACTGCAAAATTACCACAGCTCACCTAGATACCATAAGTCTGGGAAAATGGAAAGATCGCCAATGAGTTTGATGTTGATTTGAGCATAGTTGAAACCATGGACATCTCTGAAGCTAGGTAATGTTACCAAGCAGGAGGTTGTCTGGCAAAAACTGTATGATGCCACAAATGGTAAACAGGTTAGGCCGGACCATCCACTAGTGAAATCTATAAGAAAACGTCCAACGAAGAGCTTGTTCTTGATTGGTTTGATTGTGACATCTGGAGTTGTTGCTCAAGATGATGTCAATACCATGGTCAGTGGTATGTGTACAAGTGAATTGACAATGTTCAACATGGAAACGCCAACCAAAAATACACATTTTGAAATTTTCAGGTGAACTAGATGTTGGCACCGCACAACTCTCCCTAAATTTAAACAGCTCTGTTTCATCTGATTCAAAGCAACACAAGCAGTATACAATACCACGTGGTACGACCCTCGCCTATATATGTTACAAAATCAAACTTGATAAAAATCTGCTGCGTTTACAACTTGCGGAAGACATCACTGATGCTCCTCCACCACAGCATGAAAGCAGAATATTCAGCGGTAAGAATAAATTGACTTTGCAATGTGTGAACAAACTGTAGCAACTTGCCTATTAGCCTTAGTCATTGCTATTGCACATCAATGGATACAAGCTATAGAGCAACATGCTACAAGCCAATCACAAAATGTGATAGCACTACATCATTCCGAGAAAAAACTCAAGTCATCCCACTATTATGTGCATGTCCTGACCCACAACACTCTTCAGTATAGGGAATATACAATATAGAACATAGAACACGAGTTTAGGAATACTGTTGAATAGTTATACCTAAATATACTACATGCCACTTGTATGTAGAAAGCATTCGGTTTATGGCTCAAATTATGATGCTGAAGGAGATGCTCATATGAATCGAATAGTTTTGCGGCCTGACACTACAAACTGTTTTGTTTTGCCAATTTTCAGAATGTCTTCTCAATATTCAAAATCATTCTCTTGTAGAGAAAGCAGTCCAAAGTGCCTTGCATCATCTACTTTCTAGTGATGTTAGCAATGATGTTATATTGATGTTGAGAAAAATCCTAAAAAATGATCCTTCGTGTGCATCTAAACTAAATGATGTGGTATGAAATGTTACAAATTATATAATTTGTCGATGATCTAGAGCACAATTGTTTACAAATATTCGTTCACAGATTGAAGATTTCTTTGATCATTTGGAAGGAGAAGATGTGTCGTGTAAGGTCACAGTTCAACATCTGGAGAAATTATTTTCTGACCAAGTGTATAAGGATTGCTGTGCTTTGTTAGAAAAAGTGGGATTCGGCATTTACAAAGAGAGAAATGAAGTCATTTTTTCAGGAAAAGAGGAGCTTTTGAAAAGCTTATGTGCCCTGTTGGAGTGCCTTTCTAGTATGTATCCTTTCTTGTGCATAGTGTGTGAACATAAACATTAAACTTGTATTTTGTTCTTACCTTACAGAAATGAGTAAATATCAGATTCTTGCCCTGGTGGATTGTGACATCACTCACAGACAAGCCATCATAACAATTGTGAGTACATGCCAATGTTGGTTTTTGTTGTTATTGTGTAGATATGGGGTGTGTCAAGAAACTGCAGCTCTTTGAAGTCACCCGAAATCTTGAAGTCACTCAGTATTCATCCCCAAAGAATGATAACCACAATAAAATTGTGAAGCATGCATAATTACAAATTCCATTATGTTTATGCCTCTAATGGAATCAATTACTGCTTAATCATGCAAATTATAAATGTTTTGTGATTTGAAAGGATAGCATTTTGTTTATACACCCAGTATATAGCCCTGCGAATTCGCATTTTATACTACATAGAGCACTGACATACTTCAATGTTTGAGTTGTATGCTATGGAAACCTTTAAGGTGTTAAAACCTTTCCCAATAAATTTAGGCATAGAGTATGCTATGAAAACTCTTCATGTATTATTTTTTTCTATATTAAAACAACTTAATTTAGATGAAAATTGCGATGAAGCTGACAGATGGATTGGACGAAAAGCATGTGGAACCAGACCCTGTCGCCACAAAATTTCTCACAGCAATTGGTGTGAAAACGGAAATTTCAAATGGTTTTTCTGTTCAATACTTACCGAAAAACCAGTCTGTCATGAACCTCAGAAATATTACAGTGGCAGTATATGGAATGTGCTAAGTATGATTTATTACTTGAGAAAGTCTTTTTGCTCTTGGCCTGTAAATGTCAGTTTGTGTACTGTGATATATAAATCTTATAAAATGCACTAGTTTATTTTTGTAGTTGTACATATAGCATATATAGAATACAAAATAAAGCGCACCTTGTTGTACCATTATTCACAATAAGTAATACAACTCTAAGAGTTTGACATATTCGCAATTGAAATACACTTTAAGCTTTTACCATTTTATTTTGTTTTGATTTTTCCATATCCAGAACGTTTTTGAACGACTGTTTTGTTATTTCGGAATGCCACAAATTGTTTTGTTATTCGATCAATTTTTTTGACACTTTTTTGAAGTTGAAAGAACGCGATGTGAGTGTACTTAAGTTTTGCCGGGTAAAAGTTGTTTTTCGCAAAACAGACGAAAACATTAACGAAATAGGTAGCTGAAACCACACGGACGAAGTAAAAATATTGAAATACCTCGAGACAAAATTGTGTTTCTTCAATTTGCAGTGCCTTTTAGTCGAGTAATCTCTAAAAACATCGCTGTCAAAAAAAGAAAGACGGACATGCCATGTGTGTAGAACTTCGGTCGACCACCATTGTCAAACGGCTGTTGCTTAAAATTGACGTGTTTACGTTTATAAGTCGGAAGTATCCGAGCGGAAACCGATCGGAGTTCGGTTATGTACGGATTTTACATACGCAATGCTGCGCTGAAACCATTGAGCTCTATAAGACCCCTATAAGGTCCAGGCCCCTTTGCCCCTCCAGGTCGTATAGAGCTCAATGGCTGAAACACATTCATCAAACTTGACGTACGAAATTCATAAAAACAATCAACACGAGAATAAATTAAGAAATGTTTTGTTGATTTTAAGTCGTTGTCGACGATTGTAAAAGAGTTCCAGTTTTATCCTCGTTATTGGTTCAACCGTTCATGTGTGTACGTTATACGTACCTATGTTTAATAAATGACATACCTCTCCTTGCGGGTGAAGAGAGGCCGCCTTTTTCCAATATTTATCGAATGTATCTGCCGACATTCGCATACCGACACTGTCTATGACCCGATGTACCTGCATAAAAGGAGAAAGAATGTATCAACCATTGGTGGCATTAACATCGTATTTAAACAGCGGCCGGAAATGCCCTGGGGCCCGAGTACTAGATTGAGAATGTATTCTATGGATTAGATGATGTGAATGTTTAACGAGAAGGTAAACCAACATGACAAACCATTGTAGGTTTTTTTAGAATATAAACTTTTTCTTGAATCAAGCTAGACCTGTATAACATTCGATTTCTTATTTGTATGATTTAGTCGATTTAAAATTATTGCATTACAGCAATAGACCATGGCAATATGTACCTCGTTAGGTGTTCTAGCCATGAAGAAATCTTTCTCGTGAACTCCCAGGGTGGTGTACAGCGAAGGATTAACCAGACCATATGCATCAGATTCATCACCGTAGTTCTAGAAAAACAAATAATAAGTTGTGTATAGTTTTATATGATGATGAACTTTTAGACATAAAGACTTCTCTCATGATATCACTCTTTCGTGCTCTCAAATTTCCATCTGAAACTGCTCCTTAGCATACACACAGTGCTAAACATACACTTAGGTTTGTCAAAATGCCGTGTACTCAAGCAGAATTTGACAATTTCATCTTTATCTTTCGGATCTGTACCAACATGTGAGTTGCACTCGCTGATCTCTGTTTAAATTGTTTAATGCTCCTGGTAGATTTCATCGATTTAGCTTCTCCAAATTGAGCTGTATTTTCTAACGTTCGAAAGTTGTATACGAAACATCGAGTATAGTAATCCGACCTTGTTTGCCATCCTTACGCTGATGTTAAAGAAACTGCAAGTCGCTGTTTTTCAATAGTTCTTTTCCGTTGCACGCGGCTCAAGGAAGAATCTTCATATTTCTTCTCCAATAAAACCAAAGTTTTAACCATTAACCCCTTACAAGACATCACGTGACATGCATGCCATCAATTTGTTTTGTGCAAACGAAATGCACCATATCCTGGAGCAACAACAAGGTCGACAGTGTTTCTCTAAATTCTGTGTGACGTAACATAATCACGCAAAAACCTTTAAGTCATTATGTTGTTGGGATGCTTAAAAAATTCTCTTCGACCAACAGCATCTCAGCAGTTCTTTCTGCACAATTAGTAGTGCAACGTAAGCTCCTGATCTTAAGTACCCGGAAAATACCGGGGAATTAGACATGATACCGGGGAATTAGACATACCGGGGAATTAGACATACCGGGGAATTAGACATGAAAATTTTTCTGATGTTAGAGTAACAACCTGTTATACGATGACATGCAAGGCACTTAAACCACAACAATCGAACCATGTAATCTGCAGCATCCTTTATTCATGGTTGATTCAATAATTAGAAAAACTTGTTCACTTTCATTGATTGTTCAATGCCAACTTTTGCAGACATTCCTTTCAAAAATAATCGCGAAAGTTTGCTTGATTGTAGGAGCGAATCGCATTAATTATTTGTGATTGACTTAAAATCTTTTAATTAACAATCATCAGTAGAAAACTTGAGTGAGAAAAGACAGGAACACTGACGACTCATGTTTTTTTTACTTCACTTTAAAAGCAGCAGTTGCCATTAATTTTTGATGAAGAAAATTCAGTATTTTAATATAGAACTCACAAAATTAGAGGTAAAGATGAGCGCAACGTAGATGTTGTCTTGTCATTTTTCCAAATTTTCAACATTTTCCACCATCTTGAATATTTTAAATAAAGTTGTCGGCATAGGTGGTCAGCGAGCCTAACTTAGTGTAACATTTATATTTGATTCTAATTAAGTAACTGAAACCAGAGCCCTCTATTACTTATAGAGGGCTCTGACTGAAACCCATTGCTGAAACCAGAGCCTTCTATTCGTAACAGTTGGGACAAACGATCTGGGGCGAGCGCGGAGCCGCCATTTTGGTTCCTACTTGCAAAGTGAAACTATAATAACACTGGTCAACAAAAAGAAACTTTTTAAAAGGTGTCTGATATTTTTTGACTGATTTACTATATTTTTGCTATGCTAAATCTAGAAATAACATTCATTTTGCTCTCGGAGGTCAAATTTTTTTGCAAATTTGAATTTAAAATTATGCGACTTTAGTTATATTTTTTTAAAACAATGTTTTCAAGATTTACATGTTTTCAAGATTTACATGTTTTCAAGATGTTTCAAAACAAAATGTCAGTTTTTATGATAAAATTGCAGTATTCCAAGAAAGAATCATGTACACTTCATGTACAGTACATGTAACCAGAAATGAAAACTTAATGTTTGCATTATTACGGTCTAAATTTTCGTTTTTTTTGATTGTCGTGAATGTTTTGGTGCTTGCACATCTCTTTTTAAATTCCAACAGTAGTCCGCCATAATCACCATGTCCCACCTTTCTCTTAATTCATGGTGAAAGCGCTCTCATTGCTCATCGCTTAAAGAGCCAAGATTTTCGGGATCAATACCAGCTTTTAATTTTTCAGTTGACAAATTGGGGAAGGTTTTACAACGAAACTGAGAACACCGTCCATCTTTATCCAAAGTTTTAGTGAATTGCCTTATCAAACCGAACTTTATGTGCAGTGGAGGAAATAATATACGTCCCATGTCAACTAGAGGCTTGTTTATCACATTTTTTGCTCTACAACTTGCAAGCTCTTTACGTACTGGCCATTCTTTTTTCACGTAATGATGAGTACGATCCCTACTATCCCAGAGGCATAAAAAGCATGGGTATTTGGTAAATCCAGACTGTTGACCAAGCAAGAAGTTGACCATTTTTAAGTCAACGCAAATCAGCCATTTATGTTGGTCATAAGAATTTTTTTCTACGACGTACTTAATTGCTTCATGCTGTTCTTTTAATGTTGTCGAATGTGCCATTGGCACAGATGCAAATTGATTTCCATTGTGTAACAACACACATTTCAAGGACCTTTTGCTGCTGTCGATAAAAAGTCGCCAGTCCTCTGATTTGTATTCAGGTACGCCGAGATGTTTCAGTAGCTCTACTATGTCATTGCGATTGACTAATTCTTTCTCTTGAGCAAAATATCTTAAAAATTCCTGGTGCCTGGTACGGAAGAAACTTACCTTAACTTTACCATTTAGCATGTTCTTGTCCTTTAAACGAGATGCAAGAAGTTCGGCAGAGTCTTTTGGCAATTTTAAATCGCGAACAAGATCGTTTAGTTCGTTTTTGGAAAACAATTTTGGCTGCTCATCATTGTCATCGGGAAAGGATGCATCATCGGTAGTGGCAATGCTTTGAGTTTCATCCTGACTACTACTGCTTTCTTCAATACTTGTATCTTCAAATACAAGTACGGGAATTTCTTCACTATAAGGAGTAGGGCGCATAGCTGACGGTAGATTGGGATACTCCAGTGTTGTGCGATTTTTTCTGTTAATTCCCATGACATTGATAGCACAAAAGTAGCAATCGGTTGCATGACTTAAGGCTCTCGCCAAATCATGGGGATGCCAGTTCGTGGACTTTGCGTGCCTTTGCTCCATTGACGGAGATGCTCTGTGCATCTTTTGCAAACCATGTGAGGTGCCCAACTTTTGTCTTGATCGCCGAGCTTCATGCCAAAATATGCATAGTAAACGCGCTTGATAATGGTGGTGACAGTATTGCGATTTGGTGCAAGTGTGTATTCACCACAAACATAGCAAAAAACATCTGGCTTATTTTTATTATTTCTACTTTTTATTATTTTTTCTTACATTAATATGTTGGTGTGTTTTAACAAGTTTTACCATTGAATTCCAGTATGGGCTAAATAAAGCCTTATTTTATCTTTAAATATCCCATAATAATCGCAAAACCTAAACTCCCTAATTGAAATTCAATCAAAAATTGCTTATTCAAATGCTTTCTACTTTTTATTACTAGTGCTAAAAAATTTAAATTTGTTCAGATAATAGAACTTTAAAAGGTAAATGGTTAGTACTTCTGTTGTACCTTTTTCGGGTATTTAAAAGTTAAAAAAATAGAAAATTAACGATAGCTTAAAATCTCGACCTGACCCAGCAAAAATAGTGTTATTTTTGGACTCAGCACTTCAAAATTGTCCAAAATCAGTTTACAAAATTGAGACACCAAATTTGCTGTTGACCAGTGTAATACTATTGGAAACTGGCTTTATATGCAAAAGAAGGCAATTTAAGCTTATTCCATTGTAGTATCA